TAGATTACATCTATCTTTTCAGATGCCCTATGTAAGGGTCAGTTTCTAAAAGCAAATTCTCATACAGCTGAGGATCGGATTTACAGCTGAGCAGCAGAATCATCCTAAATTCAGCAAAGGTTGAATCTTCAATGGAATATAATCTCAGCTGCAATATCCAATCACTTGAGAAACTTGGTGTTTTGTTTTGATTTCTTACTGCTGTGATCTAGTATATTTCTTTCATTTCTATACCATCTAGCAGCCAAAGCTCTCTGGCTGGTTCACAAAAATTACACATCACAAATAATTTGTATTCTCAGAGGTTTTTCGCTGAGGTTTGTTTTATGGAAGGATTGTAAGACTCCAATGAAAAAAAGATTAAAACTGTGATAAATAAAAGATAATATAGACTCTTTCAGATACAAAATTGAAAAACAGTGTAACACAAATAAAAAGTCACAATGAGAATTTGGCCTCACTATGCCACCATATGTGGTGAAATGCAGAAGGCATTGAGATGGTGCCAAAAAGATGATGGTGTTGGCAACAGAAGGATTTCTGCAAGGAAAATAGTCTGGAAGATGGCACCACTGAGCAGGCCATCTCTCTTGTCGCCAACCTCCTTCTTTCCTCTCTGATTTCGGCTAGCCTGCCTTTTCTTCTCCTCTCCTCCTCCAGTCCTTCAGGAGAACAGTTCCTCGTTCATGTTTGCAACCTCCATTTCTAATTCCTCATTCCTGCTCTGAGAATCTCTTTAACCTCCTGCAACCTTGTCCCTCCACTGCTGGATTCCTTCTGTGGAACCTCCCGCAAATGTTGCAGTCTCTTGGCTTCCTGAGCTTCTACATTCCAACCCAAAACGCACAAAGACACAAACCCCACAATGTGCAAACAGTAACGCATATACAAAAGTGGAAGACAATTCTGTTTCTTCACACAGCTTTGGTGCTCAGGAAAGTTAACCACAGCTGAGCACAAAGCACACCAAAGAACTGAGGTAGGAAAAAAAAGGCAGATATCCAAACAGCACACTTGTTTAAAACAAAGCTGCTTGACCAAACTGCATTTACAAAAAGGCCAAAGGTCTGTTTGAATAAAAGATTACAATGCAGGTGTTTAGAACTGCTTTAGTCCAAAAAGCACCCTTTGGAGTAGTTCCACCATTTCTCCTACCTGTATCAAAAATCTGCAATCATCCCGTGAGCTACAGGAATGTATATAAAACCAGGGCTTCGCTTCACATACCAGCCAGCATTAATTTCTAGTACTATCTTTGGTAGATATAGACAGTTAATTTGTATTTTGCAAGAGGTTTCCCCCCTCCACCTCCTTTTTATCTGAGGAATGTCAGCTTCTTACATTACACAGGTGACCTGAAGAAAACAAAGATTTGCTGGGATTGGATGGGAACAGAATGGAGACATTCATTTCCTCAGCATTGGTGGTGTAACAAATCAATCTTGACTCTGCTGATAAATTGAACTTCAAGCTTGGCAAGGTTCCTTTTCAGGTGCAATCCAGTGTGAGACACAGCGGCAAGGCGAAGCAGAAGGAGCCATCTTTTCTTTTTAATTTCTTTTTTTAGCATTTCATTTTGCAAAAACCTGCTCAATAGGAAAATCAGCCCTTCTGAGCTCATGGCATTTCTTATGGAGTATGTATGGGGGTAAACAAAAGTGGCACATGGAGAGGACTGTGTGCAAAAGCTTGTCTGAATGAAGCTTTGTGACAAAATCTGGCTATTAAAAAACGAGCGAACAAGAATTTGCACAGTGCAAGGTAAGACAAATCATTTGTAAACCTTCCCATAAGCAGATGAAATGATAAACCCCAAACAGAGGAGTGCTTTCTTTATCTTCCCTTACCTAGCTATCAAAAGGATGAAAATCTCAGCATCTGTTCCCCTTTTATGGATGGGATGCAGCTGAGGCACTGTGACTTGTGGAAGGCCACCTAGTGAGTTGATAACTCAGGTGATATTTAGAAAGCAGGGAAGTCCTAAGAGAAATTGAGTCAGGTCATTGGTCTAGTCAGCCACGTGTGTGATAGCAGCTCCCCAGGTTTAAAGGATCTCCTTTAAACTTTGGCATGAAGAACAGGTGAGTCAGTATGGTATGGGGTGCAGAGCAAGGGAAAAGCACCCTCTGAGCCATGGGCCTCATGCATCCCCTGGGTCTTCCAAGGATTCCCCAGCAGATGGGGCTTGGCCTCCAAGCTCCCCCACATGTAGGAATGTGTGCCATCATCTTCTGTCCATCTGTGGTCAGAGGTGATGGTCCTGTGAATACCATGCAGTGAAATCCCTGCCACGTTCTTCCATCACAGGTCAGAGATAGCAGCAGAGGATCTAGGTGGGCAGAGACATGGGACTAGGGAGCACTGCATGAATGATGTATCCGGACTGAACCAGTAGCTGGAAGGGCCACTCCCGGTATCATTAGAGCTGCTGGACAGAGGAGGACTTGCCAGGCACAATAGAAGACACAGCCCTTCTGAACATCAGATCAAGTGAGCCACACCCATGCCAGGTGCTGCTGCATAGTTCCACAAGCTGCCTTCCTTCAGGGTACAGAAGAAAGCCATGAAGCTGCTAATTTGCCCTGTGAACTTGTGCTTCTACTTTCCTCTTCCACCTGCTTCCTTATCTGTTCCTTGGTCTTATCCAGCCCAGCTGTATTCTGCCTTGCCTTCCAGAGCATGACCTCAGCTGTCTCCCCATCTGGGCTATGAATTCAAGCTCTGCCCAGGTCCTTTGATTCAGGATACCTGAAGCCTTTAATGGAGAGTAAGGCTATCAATGATTACTCGTCCACTTTCAGAGGTAGTCTTCTTTTGCTGCTGGGAAACATGAGCAGGAGATCCTACAGCTTTCAAGTCCTGCTATGGGCTTCTCATAGACAGCTGGTTTGCCACTGAGTAGTCCTGGGTAGCAAACCTCTTCTGATGGACTTTGCCCTGCAAGGGTGCAGCTTCTGAATGCTTGAGATGGACGTAGAATGGGGATATGATGGCAAATTGGACATTTTGCCCCACATTTCAGGCAATATCTGCATGGTGTTGTCACAGTTGGCTTTCCCATTCCCTATCCAAATCCGTCCAGTCTTTCTATGAAAGGCCTGCCAGCAACCTTACTAGTGCCACAACTGTGACACTTCTACTACTTTTTGCTCATACGTAGTTGCAGCCATGCCCAGCACATGACAGCACGCAAATGTCTCTGGATACCCCTGACTGCATCTTTCAGAAATCTTTTATATTGTGAAAATGAAGTTATCTTCAGAATGACAGAAATGCTCCCCTATTGGATATAGCAAAGCTTCAAAAATGACCAAGCAAACACCATTGCCAAAACATTTCTATTTCTATTATGATCAGCAGAATGGAGTTTGTATTTAGGTGTTGTGGTTACAGCAAAACATCTCTTTTCTCTCTCCCTCTCTCTCATACATACATACATATATATATTCAAGTAGCTCAGTGCTGTGAGTAACTAATCAATAGTTACATAAATAGTGCTACAAGTACAATGCGTTGTCTTAAAAGGAGATCGTGTAAAAATACATATAAAATCTGATGCATAGAAACAATTCAAACAGAATACAATATATGATCTTGGCTACAGGCATTTTCAAATGAACCTTCCCTCACAGCCTGCTCCATGTTATAGAAAAGGCATTCAAGAGTCAATCTGGCAGGATAAAATTCCAGACCCAGTGAAACCACCAGGTAGAGAAGCCACGATTCTCCCTGATCCTGTAACCTCCCAAATTGCTTCTGTAAATTATTATCTAGTGATAAAAGATTGCATTTCATCATAGTCAAGGCTTTTCCAGCCATTACATTTTAGGCCCTGATTCTGACTGTGTTGGGACTGATATTAAACAGCAATCGAACATGTGTTGGCAGCTGCTACTAAAAAAGAGACTTGGGTAATACTATCTAATAATCAAAGCTATGGTTGGAAACAAAAGGATGAAACATTGTGAGATGCCTGAAGAAGGGAATCCATAATGTTTAACAAAGATATATGTATGCTGATCTTGTCAATGCAGACCATTTCACCAACCATTGTAAGGCTATTATTAATGATATTAATTATTCCACTTTTTGGCTCAAAGCAGGCAAAGTGACATATAAAAGTAATAAATACCATCCATCAAATAACAAATATCATTTAAGAAATGCATATAAAATCATTTGAAATGTTAGAACAGTATTCAGGGGAGCCACCTTGTCCATGTTTATGCATATAGATGTAAGTCCCATGGCTCCCAATTTTCCCCAGCTCCCAGGTGCCTGGGGAATGCTTGGGAGTTGTAGAACTTGCATCTGTCTAATCATGCATAAGGTTGCTTCCTAATCAATAAATATAGTCATAAAACAGAAGTTCAACTAGATGACAAAATCATACTTTTAAAAAGTTTTTAAATAAAAAGATAAAAGCACAGAAAAGGAAATCGGTAGACCTCTACACAGAGGAAATGCCATAGCTTTGGCATCACCACCGAAAAGATCCTGTTTCTTGTAACTGCCTCTTGGATCTCATGATAATGGGATGGAGAACAAGCCAAGGCCTCCAAAGCCAATCTTCAACCTCGGGTTGCTGCTAGTCCTTTCTGGCCATTTTGTGCCTGTTCGCTTTCGAGTTCCTTTAATGCAGCTTTCATCCAGCAATTGTTTCTCAACAAAGGGTTGAAATGATAGACGAATCAGCACAGGCAGTCTTCACCTCTCACCAAATGGCTGATATGTAACTCATATTTACTTTTGGAAGGGAAGCACTTCTTTAAAAAGCTGCTTTGAAGAAGATCTGCCAATTTGTTAAGTGTATGGCCTCTTTTTGGCCATTTATGCAATCTACCCAGGAGCCACAAACAATCAAAAGAACCAGTGGCTGACCAACTTACAATGACTAAAACTCCTCCACATTTCCCAAGAATGAAAGAGCTGTCCTCAAAAAGTCAACTGCACCATGCAGAGAGCCAGTTGGCAAATGCTTCTTCTTGTCCTTGTGAAGTCCCCCGGGGCTTGGTTCAGTTCTCCTCACTTTCCTTCATGAATAGAGAGTCATCATCATCCACTGAGGAATAACAAGGGAGAAGGCATTATTGTTTCATTCTGGTGTCAGAAGGGAATTTATTGGAGAGAATGTATGTTTGTTTCAGCAAAAGCCAGAAGCCCTAGTGGAGTTGGGATGCTTTGGTCTGATTAGACCCCAAGTAGCTTCCCCTCTGAAGCCAACAGAACTGCTGTTGCTCTAGAATAAGGTTTCGTCCTCTCATTGTGTTTCAGACATGATATGCACCTGCAGACTTTATATCCCCAAGCAGTGTCCTTGGGTTCCTTTTCTCTAAATTAGAAGCAGGCATCATTCCTGGGCCCAGGGCACATCTGGCAATTTGACAACTGTCCTGCGCACCATCACAGAGAGCAATGGCTGCCATGGGAAGCATGCCATGGCACAGAGGACAAGTCACCTGTCCAGATTGAGTACAAGGCAGAGGTTAGGTTATGAGCCCCGTCAAAGTCAGCAACTCCAGTTTCAGCTCCAGCAAAAGCCCATTTCACAAAATTCTTTCTCTTCCCCCTCCTCAGCCAACTAACTCACTCCCCATTTCTCTGTTTCTGGCACTCTGTATTACCATCCACAGACACGCGTTCTCTTTCTCATACACCCTTCCACTCTCATTCATGCATGCACACATCCTTTTCTTCTCCTATACACTTCAAACACATGAGTAACTGCACTCATTTTCAGGCTCTCTCCAAGTCCCCCTGCCCCCAGACCCTCTTACATCCCTTCCTCACATATATGCAGACCCATCCATGTAGTGCACAAGACATCCCGAGGAAGCTCCCAGCAGGCTGCCCCATTACCTGCTGGCATCCTGTTGGCTTCCCTGGATTACTGTTTCTCTTTCTAACTATCTTCCTCCAGCTTACAAGACAGAAGGAATGGTGGGCCCTTCCCCCTTTTCATAGAAGAAGGGGCCATGAAGGCCATGGAGTCCAACCCCCTGCTGTTACAGGAGACCACGTTACACCATCCCACTCAGATGGCTGTCCAGTTTCTTTTTGAATGTCTCCAGTTTGGGAGAGTCCACCACCTCTCTAGACAGCTGGTTCCACTGTTGCATTGCTCTAACAGTGAGGAAACTTTTCCTGATGTCCAGCCTGAATCTGGGTTGTCACAACTTGAATTGATTATTCTGTGTCCTGCACTCTGATATGAGCAAGAAGAGATCTTGACCTTCCTCTTTGTGACAACCTTTTAGGTACTTATAGAGGGATACCATGTCCCCCCCTCAGTCTTCTCTTCTCAAGGCTGAACATACCCAGTTCCCTCAGTCTCTCCTCATAGGGCAGTGTTTCCAAACCCTGGATCATTTTTGTTGCCCTTCTCTGGACCCTTTCTAATTTACCTGCATCTTTCTTAAATCTTGGTGCCCAGAACTGGACACAGTATTTCAAGTGAGGTCAGACTAGTGAGGAGTATAGAAGAACTACTACTTCTCATGATTTGGGAGTAATAGTTCTGTTAATGCATCCCAAAATAGCATTTGCCCTTTTGGTGTCTTCTTCTCTTAGTGGCTTTCTGTGTCATAGAGGAAAGCACCAGTCTACAGCCACCCTCCATCTTTGCTTCCTACATATGTCCATCAGCCTGGCCACGTAGCCTAGGAGCATTCAGGAGAAAAGCTGGTAGCAGCTTGAAGCAATCCCATGGGCCAGGGAGGAAAAGCAATCAAGTGACTATTCCACCTTCTCATCCAAGGGTGCAAAACCTCTGGCCCACAGGCAGAATATGGTCTATGGAGGCTCATCAACTGGCCCATGGAGACCCTGAATCCTCCCAATGGACTTTGACTCAAGTTTCCTGCATCCTTTCCAAGCCCCACAGCTGGAAACTGTCAGAGCTTGGGAGGTGGCAGAAGGAAGAATTCTTTCTGTTGCCTTCAGCGTGCAATCCTGAAAAAAAATGTATTCATCTTCCATGCTCAAAGGTGCAAGGAATTCAAGTTTAAATTGAGCCACAAGGAAACTCTTGTGCATCCCTATTCTTATTTAGGATGCCTCTAGGCTGCTGCAATTTTCAGGATGGTACGGAAGGACTGTAGGGGGAGAGGCACACTGGAGACCCTCATTCAGCTTTTCATTCTGAAATTTGGCAGACTTTGAAGGGGCAACTATCTCTGCAATTTTCATCCAGTTCTACAAAGGAATAAGATATGGTTTTTGTCAGTTCCCTTCAAAAACTCTGACCTATTTTTCTGATATTGGACAGATGCAAAAACTTCCACAAGGGGATTACATGCCCACAGCTATCATGCAATTCTGTGAAGGAAAAATAAGTCACAGCCAGTGTTTGATAGACAAGGGGAACCACAAATCCTCAATTTCATAAAATCATAGAACAGTAGAGTTGGAAGGAGCCACGAAGGCCATCAAGTCTAACCTCCTGCTGTTGCAGGACAAGTTACAACTTCCCACTCAGATGGCTGACAATTTTCTGAACCTCAACTCGGGTTTGGTACCAAGTCAAAGTGGACAGATTCTGAAGTCCAAGCTCAGGACTTGTGCACGTCTCTAATACTTAAGACTGAATACATCCAGGCTTTTAGTGTATTGTTAGTCACCTGCTGGTGGTTCCTCCAAGTTTGTATTTAGCATAGTTCACAGAAGAATAGAAATGTCCCTCCTCCATCCACCCACCCCTGAATGGGAAGGGAAACGATAACCCATGTCTGTTCTCCATCTCATACAGAAATGAGCAACCGAAAATATTTATCTACCAAAAAGCAGCACTTAAGGAAGCTGTGGCCTTACTTCAGATTCTTGAAGGTATATCCCTTTGCCATCTTTAGTCATATTATGAAAGGCCTCTGTAAAAGGGAAAAAAAGAGGGAAACTGATTTGATTGTTCACAAGAATAAGCAAAGTTCAAGATCTCTCTCCATCCTGGCAAACCTAATGAAGTCCCAGCAACACCCATGAGGGGGCACTGAGGATCATGTGTTCCTTCCTCAGAGAGCCCTGATGAGGTTGTTTTGGCACTAACTTCCCATAATGCCTTGTAGCTCTGCTATAACAGGGGCGTTGTGAAAAAAGTAAACCCAGCCAATGGGTAGTTTTAGAGTTTGCGAGCATGCTTTTAAAAGCAGTTCAAGGCAGGTGTCAGAGTTGGAATGATGGCAACTGCCCAAGGAAGCCTAGTGCTGAACCTGCCCTAGTTCTTGATGATCATGGCCATTTTTGACATGATAAAGACACTGGCCACATTCACACAACAGGATAAGCAATGGTGCATGGTTATCATGAGTCACTGTTTTTTACAATGATCTACTCAGCAGACAATCAAGTGGTTTCTACATTATCATGGTTTCCATTCTCCCCATTCAGTCAGCCCACTGATGACATGTATCCTCTCAGGCACTGCCCCTGAAATTCAATCTCAAAATGCATCACTCCCTGCTTTTGTCACCTGCCTCTTCCTCATTGGTCCACAAGAGGCTGGATGGCTGGAACAGCTCCTATATCTGCCACTCTTTCCAGAGGACTTTGTGGTAGTCACACACCACCATGGAAACCACAATTCTAGGTTCAAGCAATATAACAAGCCATGGTTGTACAGAGAAACTGTAGAATAAACCAATATTCCTTATCATGGTTTCTAAAGCCCAAGCTTACCATGGTGAAATACCATGGCTGGGTTCAGACTATGAATGGTTTAAAAAAAACCCACCATGACTTGTTGTGTTGTTGGAGCCCAGCCACTATGTCATTCATCCTGTCTTAAGTTTTCTGGTTTCTCTTCAGATCGTATAAATCTTTCACCTTTTACTGTCTTACGTTTTTGGATTGCCCACTTCTTCTTCACCCCTGGTTGAAACTGCTCTTGTTTCTGAGCCTTTAACAGCAGCCTAGCACAAATAATTTGAGTAGGTAACACTTTGCCTTGTGCAGATACAAATGGAAAAGAAAACTTATGTAGAGATCTGTTTAAGACAGAGTGCAAGATCTATTTAAAAAAGTGGCAATTAGTTCACCTTAGGGTTAGCAGGAGCTAGAGGAAGATGGCATATGCTTTTTCTCACACAACATTCTGGAAGCGCCTGATCAGATAAAACTACTAACCCTATCCCATCATCCATTATATTTCAACATTCTTGGAGAACATGAGCTCTTCATGTACTGCCCCATTAGAGGGCCAGGTGCAAGAGCACCTCTTTCAGGCACCCTGTGCTTTGGTGTCCAAAAATAAATCTTCCATCTATCAGATTCTGTGACATATCTCAGGTTTTCTTCCATTCCTCCATCCCTAGCAGAGAAGCTAAACCTGCCCATATACTTTGATGGCCCGGGTAGATTGTAATGGTGTTAGGGATGAATGAACCAGTCAATTTGCATTTATCTTTTTTTTTTTAAGTTAAGTTAACTCTGTGCTGTTTCGGTATGCTTCTTTCAAATTATACACATGTTTCTGGTACATGCTTCTTCAAAATACGTGCATTTTACACACTTTTTCTGCACTATGTTTATCTCCATAAACATAGTTATTTAAAATGTGATCTCAAAATCTGGGCAAGTGCAGATAACAATGTTCTGGGTTCAGGTAGCATGAATTCAATAAGTCTGCACAGAAATGTAAGGTGAATAAATGTCTGTCCCATTTCCAGCTGAAGCCCCGTAGCTGCTCAATAGGAAGAGTCTTCCATGGTGGCACCTGGACTCTAGAACCACTCGCCCAAGCCAATTCAGCTGCTCTCCTCCCTCCATGCTTTCCAGCCATAACTGAAATGATGTTATTTCAGTGGATTTCCTTAATTAAAAGTCATTGGCCTTTTCTTTGTTTTATTGTTGATGGTGCAATTTTGCTGCTGTTTAGATTGTGGTCCCACTTAATTACTTTTCCGGTGCTTGATTGTTAGATATTTTATTATGGTTGCCATTAAGATACCTTTTGGAGAGAGAGAAAGGCAGGGTAGAAATCTTTTAATAAACTGTAATAAAACTTTCATCTACCACACACCACGTAGTCCTACAAATCTTCCCAAATCCCTTCAGCTTTCTTGACATAGCAATATGAAGAAAGCAGTTGCCTGTGGAATTATTGTTTCTGTTATAGGAATGGGTGAGAATTTCATGCAGTTTGTTCTTTTGAGAAAAACCTACCTGACTTGGCAAATGTCTTCATAAACAGGATGGGAAGAACTTGAGGTTAAAAAAAAGGGGGGGGGGGGGAATGTGGAACTGATGGTTTCATTTATCACTATTCTACTTTTCAGATAAGTTTGCTGAGTGAGACTCTATGCCTGGCAGTGAACTTAGCAGTGGAGCCCAATTTTGCTTTGAGTTCCTTTGGGAAGAAATGGTCAAAGGCATCCTCCTCACCCATCATGACTTCCACACGCAGCATGAAGCAGGCAAAGCTCTCGAAGGTGATCCTCAAGCTGGGATTCCCGTATCGGATTGCCAACAGCTTACAGAGTTCGTTGCTGAGGGAGATCCCTTTTGCAAAGGCAAGAAAGTCCCCAGCACAGTTAGGCTTCGTATCTAGGCTTTCCATATAATCACAACACAAATGGCACTGAATTTTATTTGAGATGCTGGTTCATATCCAGTCTTTCCTCCACAGGAGCTCAGGCTGCTGTAGGTATTTGGGCCTGGCCATGAGAGATGCTTGACTGGCCCAGGAGTCTGACCCGCATGCTCCCAGGCATCTGAGCAGGGATTTGATGCTAGCAGCCCCAGTCAGGGTAGACACTGTCTCAGGTTTGGGTACACTTATCCCTCAACACAACCTCGACAGGTAAGAGAAGCTGAGAGAAATAGTTACTGGTCAGGATCCCTTTGTGAGGTGAATGGGGTTTTGACCTCCACCCCCCCCCCTCCACAACCTCAGTTCTTTGCACAACGCCACACCAGTGCCACAGAGGCAATGGAAATGATAAATATGAACGCGACAATTTGGAAGTCAGCCCTAACCTCCATTAGTGCTATTTCAAAATTTGCATGTCACCAATTAAGGAATTACTGCTGTGAAGTACACAAAATTAAAATGCTGAAAATCACTTGAATGTAAGCATCTGTTACTCGAGGAGCAACAGACTCTGCAATGGAAGCACACAGAAATCAATTAATAATGTGTGTCGTAATTTAATCATTCAAAGTTTGTTAATTTGATATTTGAAATGCTGCATTTTTAATTACATTATGCCTTCAGTTATGATTCGTTAATTGTAGTCATATGTTGTAGCAAGTGCATTAAACTGAATTATAATGAATGATAATTCCATTTCTTTTTGTATACAATTTTTAGCTGCAACTTTCATACATTTTATTTGTTAAATTCAAGTTAAAGTGAATCGAACTCCAGCTCTAGCATCATTAAGAAATGTAATGATCTCATTCAACAAAGGTGCATTCCACACAAAAACCTTACAGCCATTTTAATCAAATATATATTTTAATCACTGCGAGGGAAAATCAGTCTTCTGTTTCAGCTCATTAGTGGGAAAAACCAATGAGACAAATCAGATCCAAGCTGCAGTAATCAATGACACGCTCAACAGCATGTCTAACTGGGCCCTTTGTGCATTGCCTCTAATGTGGGACCAGTTAAATGGGTCCCTCCCCACTATCAGTTGGAAGGAATGAGAACTGTTGAGAAGGAACGCCGCAAGTTGCACAGCTCATGTGGTGGCTGCAGCCTTTCAACCATGACCATGGTGGGGGCATGGGAGGAAGATGCCTAAATGTTATTTCTAGGAAGTTCTGCATTCAAGAGAGGTAAAAAAAGCATGCAGAGATGAGTCTGGAAAAGCTGTCTGCAGAGTTCATAGTAGAGATCAGATCTGAGTAGAGGTCAGTCTGTTACTACATTCCTCAGAGGCCTTGAAATTAATTAATTTAAGGTACGATCCTATGGGTTGCACCTGCAGTGCTCATGAGCCCCTAAATTTGGAGACTGCTGGGCAAACTATGCAGAGTGGAAAGAGCAGCATAGGTGATCCCAGCCTTCCTGCTTCTCCTGCTCTGCTTTCCAGCTGGAAAACTTCAGCTAGAAGACTCCAGGTTGTGGCAACAATCTATATCAACAAGCCAATTCTAGAAGTTCTCTCTCCACCAGGGACAGGTCTTGGGTCTTCATTGCCCATTCAAGATCAAGGAACTGCAACATACATTGCATTCTAATGGGAAATTATATATTTTTGTTGTGAAAATTCATTTTCACCCATGTACTGTGAGATCTGCAGCTAAGCTCAGAGGGAACAAGGAAATCCGGTGGGTAGGGAAAATGATGACATCAGCATCCCTACGCAAGAATTGGTGCTGAGCTGAAGATGCAACATGCAAGTGACCAAATATATCGCAAAGAACTGAAGGGTGGACTTTGTGAGCTTTCTGCCCTATCTCCAGGTCAAGAGTTCATCATGGGTCTTCTTGATACCCAGGTATTGATGCCACTAAATCAGTGCCATGCTTTACTCACCCATCTCTTTCATGGCTTCACGCAGCTCAACTTGATCCAAGGTCCCTGTTTGGTGAACATCTTTCTTCTGGAAAACATCCTGTGGCCAAAATTTTAGGACAAACATTCCAATTAAAGTCACTTATTTTATTTAAATCATTGCACTTCTGTACCACCCAATAGCCAAAGCATTAAGGAAACAAACACCATTAGCAGTGAAACACATTTTTATCCACCAACTGGTCTTGCCTACACCACCCCCATCATTTCCTTCGTTCATATTTCAAAGGCTCAGTGATCACAGTTATGCTTGATAAAGACAGAAAAGCAGAATGACTCTTGCACCAAGTTGTCTAGCCCCAAATGGAGTACTGCCTTCCAAACTACCAAGTCCATAAAGATAATTTGCCTAACCTATTATTAGTCACTGAGCCTATATAAATGAATGTGGTTTTAAAAAATATTGGTATGGCATTCTTGCATGGTCGCCTATAGGCACAAGTACTCACCCAGGTGATTAGAGGACATGCAGAAACACCAGTCAAACATATGTCTATGTTAACTGTTAACTGTGAGGTCAAAGAAAAGGACCGGCAGCCTTGGTAGGAGGAACAATTCATTGCCAGTCTGCCCTGCATGCTTTCTGCCACCTTCAGCTTGGTGACACCATAGGCACAAGAGGGGCTGTCGGTGCCGTGCTTGCGATCCTGTCCCAGCCTCTCCTTGGACGCCCCATTGCCATCATCAGCCCAGGAAGGGAAGCCATGCTCACGGCTGCTGACTGTCAGCTCCTGCACTGGTGCTTTGGAGAGCGCAGCTGGAGGAGCCACGAGGCCGATGCCCACTGCAGCGCCACCCCCTGGCCTGCCGCAGCGACCCCCACAGCCGCCCACACTTTCCTCTGTACCTGGTAAAGAAGCAGCTTCTTCCACAGGAACCGGAATTCTTGAATGCTCAGGGTGCCCGTGCTATTCAGCTGAATGGTGTTGTCAAAGCACACAATATTCTGACCAAGTGGAAGGGATGGGGAGAGAGACAGCAAATCAGGAAAAGTTTTAATTAGCCCAGCCCGAGAGAAGTGAAGGCAAATAGTCTGGATGAAAAGCAGAGAGGACTCTTGGGTTTTCAATTGCCATTTATTTTGTGCCCCCACTAAACCGTATGATCCAGGCTCTAATGCCTCCAGAATCAAAGCCACATATTGACTGCAGTAGGCTTTGAACTCTGCCCAGGGGTTGTTCTTCCTTTTCCAAAAATCAATGACATTTGCTCATTAATTTCAACCTACTCCTTTACAACCAAACTATGGGCTGAGTATTTGTGGGAAGGAAGGCTCAGGTATGCCCTTTACTCAGATTAATTACGTACCAGGCCGGCTTGCTTATAAAGAGGCTGGCTGGCTCAGCAAGCCTTCCTCAGGCCAGGGCCTGGCTGCCTGGCATAGTGAAGATACCGACAAGTCCACACATGTGCACACACACACACACACACACCACACCCTCCTTTCCCTCCTTCCCATTAGTGACAAAATGTGGTTATGAACCAGGTACAAAGGCAAAGCAAGGAGAAAGCATTCGTTGGAAAGAGGCACCCGCAGTCTGGCCTCAGGGCCTCAGCTGGAGTGATGCAGCACAGCAACTTTGGCGAACTGTAATTTGTGTACCTTTTTTAACCACTCATGACATTTGTTCTAATGAGCTTCCGAAACTCTGTTTTGATTTGTGTGGAATCAGGCAATTTGTGCAATTACAATTTGTGAAAATTTTATGGAAAACAGCTTATTCTGCACAAATCACACTAGGTTTTTGTGTTTATTTGTGCAAATTTCATCAGTGGTTAAAACGTGCTTAAATGTGCTTTAGAAAGTGGTTTAAAATTCTCTCTCTCTCTCTCTCTCTCTCTCTCTCAGACACACACACACACAACATATTCCCTTTCTTTACTTTCTGCTAATTCATATGAGCTGAATACATATTACCTGGTATTATAAAAGAAAAAGGCAAAAACAAAAACACACATTCCTTGGTATAGTAACATGGGCCAAGTGATTGTATATCAAACCAACATCGTTAAACACAGAAGGCAGGATACATCCAGGAGGGCCAAGATGCATCGGCAGGCATCAAAGCTAAATTTCAGCCCTGAGGATGAGTGCTGAAGATCTAGAAAATAAAAGACGTATGATTGAGCAAAGGCAGCAAGAGAAAACAAATGTATAAGGAGGAGAAACACCTCCTGCCCCAAATGATAGGAGTGAGTGTAACACTCTATTTGACACCAGCCTGGACAGAGTAAGTGGCAGGTACGTTCCGAATGAAAGCTGCGAAGCCGCTCAGAGACATCATTCCAAGGCTATAATCTTACTTGCCCAGCAATCGGGCTTCACATTCCCCTGGTTTTGTTTGTTTGTTTGTTTGTTTTTTATTTATTTATTTCAGGAAATTGTTATACTGCTTTTCCTTTTAAAAAATAGGAAAGCAGTTCACACTGTAAAATCAGAACAGCATAACAATAAAACCAGTCAATGAAACAATAAGCCAGCAATATGCGAAGCAATGAAAGTTCTCATTAAAATAACATGGGTAGTTGTTTGTGCTAGTGGGCAGGAGAAGGTCAGCCAGAGAAACGTCTGCAAGTGTTGGTGGAAGCTCACTCTGCTGGGAGCCTGCTTGAACCCCTTGGTGAGCACCCTCCACAAGGTGAGTGCCACCACCAAGAAAGCCCTTCTCTGCACCACAACCGAGTGAGCATCTCTGGGTCACAGCATGGTAGGCAAGGCCTCTGCCAGAGAAGGCAAAGAGTGGGCCAATCTGTAAAAGAGACTTGATATGGGGGCAGAAGCACCAGCGTTCTAGTCTACCTCATCTCTGAAGGCTGTGTTTTTCTCCAGATCTGTCCTGAAGTGCGCCACTCATAATATAACATCCCACTTTCAGTTATACACAGGAGTTGACTGCAGAATGTGAAGCAGAACAACCCAGAGTTTAACCTCGAGACCTTTTGCCCTAACATAGGACCATAAGAAGGGCCTTGCTAGATCAGACCAGGGTCCATCCAGTCCAGCATTCTGTTCACACAGTGGCCCTTTCCTGGTTTTCTCCAACTCCCCACCCTGGTTTCTTATTTCTCCTTGGGCTGGTTGATAAGAGCATAGGGAGAGCCATGCTGTCCGGTCCATTGTCCCACGCCCACAGTGGCCAATCAGGTGCCTCCACGTAGGACAGAAGTGCAGTTGTGCCCTCCCACACGTGTTCCCACCAATGGGCGATGATATTTATGATATTCTCCTCCATGAATTCATCCAATCCTTTTTAAGCCATCCACACTGATGGCCATCACTAAATCTTGTGAATTCCACAGTCTAACTATGCCCTGCATGAAAAAGTCCTTCCTCTTATCGGTCCCGAACCTCCCCCCAGTCAGCTTCATGGGAGAACCCCAGTGGGTTCCAGTATCATGACAGAGGGAGAAAAATGCCTCCACTTTCTCCACACTGGCATAATTTTGAATGCCTCTGCCCTGCCTGCCCTTGCTCGCCTTTTTTCAGCACTAAGAAGTATCAAATATTGTAACCCTTCCCTCGTAGGGAACCTGATCGTTTTGGTTGCCTTTTATGCACTTTTTCCAGATATAAAATATCCTTTTGGCCACTTCTTCCTTGGTAATCAAGGTAACATACAAAACACATAATGCACAGTAAAGTACAGAACAGTCTTCGCCAACCTGGTGACCTCCAGATGTCCTGAGCTGTCACTCCAAGCAGGCTCAGTCCATTATGGCTGGAGATGCCTGGGATTGCATTCCAAGGCATCTGGAGGATGCCAGGTTGGGAAAAATGGCACAAGCTCTTCTGGGCAGATGTGACATAGTGGTTAGCATGTTGGAAGAGCCACTTGGCCCTGAATCCCACTGGGTAACTCTGGACCAGGCACTGACTCTCTGCCAGTGAGAATCTGTGACTCGCCTAAAGCGTTGTTGTGAGGTTAAAATGGCCAGGAGGAAGACAGCTATGAAGCCACATGAGGTTCCCTGCAGGAGAAAAGTTGAGCTATTAATATAATAAATAAGTAAAATGTAATAAATGCATGAAATCTTGTTTCATTTCTCTATGGCTTAATTCCCCCGGTTTTGCTGATGCTGAATTTCATCTAAGTGTGCTTTGCGAGCAGCCTGGGGGACCAGTGCCAACTCCCACTTTTGGAAGTCAGGGGTTTTGCTCCTGCAGGATCTCTCTTCACCCTTTGCCTCCTCTCCCAGAGTTGTTGTTCCTCCTCCTCCTCCTCATTACTGACGCTTGCTTGGGAGGCAGGGAGCTGGCAAGCAAGCAGAACGGTGGTCTCCCTTTTCCTCTCCTCACCCCTCCCTTGTCTGGACCAAAGTGAGAAGCAGGTGAACAAGGCAGGTGATGGGGAGGAGCCAGTCCAGGGGGGGTCCTGGTCCATGGGTCCCTGGTGGGGTGTGGGCCCTCAGCAGCAGCCCAGTCATGCCTACTCTTAATGGCAGCCCTGGGAATGACCTCAGTTATCTCCTCTTGCATGTGTGCTCAACTGGTCCCTTGTGTAACTCTCCTGGATGCAGCAGAACAAGGATATGAATCAACGTGACAGTTTTGTGTTCCCTCTTCCTTCTGCTGCCTGCCCCTGCCTCTCTCAGAGACAGAAGAGATAGGCGGGTTAAAAGCACAGGGCTGAGAATTCCTAGCGATACACAAATGACAAGAAATGAAACAGAAAGAGAGTCTAATCTCGTTGCAAATCATGATTATAGATTGCCCGCAGATTTCCATGGAGCAGGCGCCAGGCTCATAACTCACCGATCCCTTCTCTACAGAAACTGACGATGTTTTAATCTCATTATAGCCCTGTTTATTAAATATGAATCATGCACTGTAAAGTTTGGAAATGAAAGCCTTAAAATTGATTGCCTATGAAGAATAAAAGATGAGCGCACAGCCTGGTTGGTTTCCTTATAGATTTCCCAATGCCTGATGGGTTACTTGGGAAAGATGCTCAAGTGCAGCTAAAACAACCATCCACCCTTACTCTTGGGGAAGCAAAAAAGGCTGTCACCTCTTAAGGAGATGCTTTTTGTTTTTGTTTATTTGGAACTTTTGCCCCAAAAGCTTTTGTCTCATTATGTTTCTCCATATTTTCAGGTCTTATCCATTTATGAATTAGGATAAGGATTAGGATTTTTCTGCTCAGTTTATTGGTTACTGAGTCTCTGTGGGAAAAGGGGACTTGCATGTTTCTACCAGCAGAACTGACAGTGGGGAAAGGGCTGGTCCACTTCGGAACTGGAACCAATACATGCAATGATCATTAATTTAAATTTAATTCTGTTAAGATGATCACTGAACAAGATTTAAGAATATTAAAAGAGAATAAATGCACAAACTTTCTCAGAGCTTTTCTACATGAGGCTGTTAATCCATTCTAGTTTCGTTGCAGAAGTGAGGTCGGAACATCAATTCCACTTTTCCACTATATAACCACTAGGTGGCATTGTAGTGTAGTGAAGAAATGCTATTACATAATGGAAAATGTTTTCTTTCAATTTTACAAATACTGTATGCAATTAAAAAAACTTTTCTAAAAAAGAAGTGAAAGTAGGGGGATCATGTTGTCATTTCACCAACCATAAGTAAGGAATGACAAGCACACAATAAATGCTTCATGTAGAGCAGTAAAAATATCAAAATTCCCCCAGAGAACCAAAAGGTTTTCTCAGTAAAAATAAGGCTGTTGCTCTTTTAAGCGGAGAGCTTGGGATAGCTCTCCCAAGTGGACAGGAACCAGTGACTGACTCTCAGCAACACCTACTTGAGGATAAAATGCAGGAAGAGGATTATAAAAGCTGTCTTGGGTTTCTTGAAGGAAAAAAGGTGGGCTATAAATAGAATAAATAAATAGATACTTACTTGTCCAGGCAATATTATTCAGGATCCTCTGCAGCTGGACTGCATTTATCTCAGGATACTAAAGCAGATGAGAAAAAAATGATAGAAAATCTAAGCTATGCATTTCTCAAACTCCAAGCATTAACAGAGAGTGTGTGATGCTAACGGGAAGCTTTCAAACAAATCCAATAAAGAAAGAAAGAAAGGTTTCTAATTCTAAAAAATAAAGCTTTTTTTAATCTTGTGCTGACAATGCCTGCCAATAGAGGGAGATATTTACTTATAACCTTATCATAGAAATCACTTGCCATAGAAATTGTCACATTTTAATGTCACAATAAATTAGAATTTGTTTGTTTATTCCAGAAGATACTGGGATATTGTGAAAAGGGACACTTCCTGGTGCACGATGGAGGAGTAACTAAGCAAACCACATACATCCTGTCTGAGGTTTGGTCACCATTATGTGTGAACCAGGAAATCTGGCTGGTCTTTCCCTAGACAAGCCAGGGTTTCTTTTTAGCTTTTGACCTCTGAACCCATTCCAATTAGTCTATATTCTTCTCATGGAAGGTTGTCAAGGGCACAGAAAAGTTACAGAGGGATCTATTTAATTTGAGTCACTTTTAAATTGGAAGAACTGTTCAAAAATGGGACTAAGCTCCTGAGAGGGCTGGCTGATTTCCCCTCACTGAAGGTTTTCACACAGAGGCTGGACAGTTGTCCATTAAGGATACTTTAGCTCTGGATTCTCTGCATTGAACAGGGGGTTGGGTCGGATAGCCTCTCTTGCATGGTAGCTTTCCACAGGCAGGTAGTTCTTGAGACTGGTGGGTGTTCAAACATGCACTTTGCCATCTTGCATTTAGCTGTGCCACCACAATACTTCTGAACACGTAGTTGATGCAAAGATTTTGCACTAGGCACTGTGTCCTGGTTTCCAGTCTGCATGCATATTGAAAATATATGGGGTAGGTTTTTTAACCTGAAAAATCTTCTTTTACACAGATAGAGCAGGTTTTTTATTTCCTTTGAGACCATATATCCACATACTCACTTGCACAAAGTACTTAGCAAAGAAATCTTCCCAGTCTTCGTGCTTGTCGACTATTTCCTAAAGACATTGAAAACAATATTAAAATGGACTATTTCTAACTGTTCGGAATGAAATCAGCAATGTATGAGCCAACTTGCAAGAGGAAGAAATGTGGGAATAAAACTGACAGAAAGACTAACAAATGGGTCCTAGATCAAATCAAACCAGAATTTTCCCTAGAAGCAAAAATGACAAAACTGAAGTTGTCATACTTTGGGCTTGCCTTGAAAGGCAAAAATCCCTGGAGAAGATAATCATGCTAGGGAAAGTTGAAGGCAGTAGAAGAAAAGGAAGACCAAATAAGAAATGGACTAACTCCATAAAGGAAGCCACTGCCTTGAATTTAAGAGAGCTGAACAAGGCTGTTATGGAGAGGACATTTTAGAAGGCTTTCATACACAGGATTACCATAAATTGGAGACAACTTGATGGCATATAACAACAATAGTAGTAGTCAAAATAATATAGGGTAGCCTTCCCATACCTGGTACCCTCTGTGCATTTTGGACTACAACTCCCAACATCCCTGATCATGCTGGATGGCACTGAGGGGCACTGGAGTCCAAAATATCTGGAGGGCACCAGGTTGGCAAAGGCTAATATAAGTTGCCTTGAGTGCCATTTTTTAGTTGAAATGTGGGATGCAAATAAAATTCAAGTAATAAAATAAAATGCATGAAATATAAATGATTTACGGTGTTATGGACAGGCAAATCTAGCAGCTCCGGAGATTCAGTGACGACAGCAGCTGCCAGTAAAACCATGCTTTTAAAAGTTCACACTCTTTCTCCACGCAGCGACATAGTGAAATAAGCAACAGCTTACTCCAGTTTTCAAATGTGCAGAAATTGGAGGAGGAGTCTGAGGCCATGCAGGACTCAAGCTCAGACTTAGATACAGGCCTCCCTCACCAAGCTGTGGGACAGATGGGCTCACATTCCCAAGATGCCCTGGAAATGCACGTCCACGTGGTGAGAGGTGGCCACTTGCCTGGGTGCACACAAGACTAGGCTAAGCAGGAGCTGCCAGGGCTCCACGCAAAGAAAATAACACTGCAGGTAAGGGAGCAAGGAAAACACAAATCATCTTCTGATGCCAGTACTGCATTAAAAGCTAACGCAGGCTATACTTCCTCTCTACCACACAGGCACTTTAAAAGCACCTGTTTCCCCCATCCACCTGCTATTCAGGCCTGTAAGTGGGCCCGAGCTGACGACAAAACTCCATTGGCAAGCTTCATCTGCCAGACTCCGGTGATCAACAGAGCTGCCAGCCTTCAGAAAGGAGGAGAAGAGGAAAGCCAGGAAAATAGAGCAAAGAGAAAGCCCACCGTCCTGTAGCCTTATTTTATCTCACCTTTGAAAGGACACAGCTTGAATCGCCACCCAATTCACTACAAGAAAGAATACACACACAGTGAGGAGTAGGGCCAGTCCAGGCCATGACAGGACCCCCAGGGAAATCCCAGGCCCTCCGTTCTCCTGCTTGAGATCATGCTTGACCGGATCAGCTTTCCCTGGCCTGGTGCCTTTCAGGGCTGCTGGCAGAGCAGTCCCAGGCTGCCTGCTCCTGCGTTTTCCACATAGTGGAGTGTGCTTTGCACTTCAAGGGAAAAATCACTCAGATCTGCCAGGAGCTTGACTCTGCCGTCAGTGCAGTGGAATCTCTGAATGTGTCCAGGACCCTCATCCAAGGGTCCATTATTGGATGAGTTTCAGTTACTGAGACCCGAAGCTGTGGACAAGGTGCTTGGCTCTGTCCAATTCACCACACACCTTCTTGACCCTTGCCCATTTGGCTGATTGGGAATCTGTGGAGGGGGTTTGGCCCTGGGTCCAGGAGGCTGGCTGTTAACACCTCACTAAGAGAGGGAGTGGCCCCTGCCTCATTAAAGGAGGCAGAAGGGAGACCACTCCTAAAAAGGCCTGGCCTAGATCAGGGATTTGTGACAACGTTTGCCCCATTGCTAATCTCCCTTTCCTGGGCAAGGTGTTGGAGCAGGTGGTGGAAAAACAGCTTCAGGGTCTCTTGGAGGATACAGATTATCAGGATCCATTTCAATCAGGCTTTTGGCCTGCGTTTGGGATGGAGACGACCTTAGTTGCCCTGTCTGATGACTTTTGCAGGGAAAGAGAGAGGGGAACTGTGACTCTGTTTGTTCTTCATGACCTCTCAGTGTCCTTCAACACCATCAACCATGGTGTCCTTCTGGACAGGTTGGCCAGGGTCAGAGTTGGGGGCACCAATTTGTGGTGGTTCCTCTCCTGCCTGGCTGGTCGGGTCCAGAAGGTAGTGCTGGGGGCAGTTGCTCTACACCATGGTGGCTATGTCTCACTATCAGCCATATCAGGCAGCTGCCCATCTCCAGAAAGGAGCACTTCTGTACCCTGTATTCCTTTCAGTACGAATTGGGTGAGGAGAAACTTTAGAAAATAACAGGCCAAGGGGCTATGCCTTTGGAGCAGGATGGAGGCTTTCCTTATTTAGAACAGAGCTGCTGCATGTCTTTTGGCCCAGAGGCCAAATTCACTCTCAGAAGAACCCTCAAGCGTGGCATTCCAGGACAAGTGGGGCTGAAGGTAAAGCACTCCCTGGCTTGTAATTGCATGAATTGGGCTGCTCCATTTTATTGCTCCTGGCATTGCTCTGCATTGTTAGGGGAACTGGGTTTGTAGGGTAACTGGAATTGTTTGAATGTTTTAATTTAACAGTGCAATACTTTAATTGCATTTTAGGTATCATTTAATAATTCTATGCAAAACACTTTGGGATTTTATTATCTCTAGCAGTATATAAAAAGGTAAAGGTTTCCCCATGACATTAAAGTCTAGTCATGTCTGACTCTTGGGGACGGTGCTCATCTCCGTTTCCTAGCCGAGGGAGCCAGCGGTTGTCCGCAGACAGTTTCTGTGGTCCTGTGGCCAACATGACTAAACACCAAGGTGCACGGAATGCCGAAGTGGTACCTTTTTATCTACTTGCATTGGCATGCTTTTGAACTGCATGGTTGGCAGAAGCTGGGACAGAGTACGGGAGCTCACTCCATCTGCGGATTCAAACTGTCGACCTTTCGATCAACCAGCCCAGCAGCTCAGCAGTTTGAACCACTGTGCCACCTGCAGTCCCTTAGCAGTATAGAGGTATCACAAATAACTAAATACATACATAAGTGGGGCCGGGCCAAAAGACTGAAGCTCTCGCTGCCAGTCATTACATCATAGGAGGGGCACTCCGGCCTTTCATAGCAGAGCACAACTGCCCAAAACTGGGGAAGCACCCAGCAAACGAGGGCATGCGCCATGGAAAAGAGGCTTAGACCCTGAGGTGGAAGTCCCACAATGGCTCGTTCAGGGCCATGAGCACACCTGGTCATTCAGGGCCACGAGTGCATCATGGAGCACCAAAGGACGTGCCGCCATTTGGAATGAGGGCTACACCCTGGAAGCCAACAAGGGAGGGGAGATGGCCAGGGAGACCAAGGGGGATGAGAGGGCTGGTTCAACTGCACGCGATGGGGCTGGGTGATGGCAGGGCACCCTGCCCCACAGCCTGGCCACCTTGAGATGTGTGGGCCTACAGCTCCCACATAGGCTCCAACCCGTCCAAAGGGCACCAGGCTGATGTGCCCCGGTGGTTCTCACCACACAAACCAGGCACACGTACTGAAGGCTGTGCTTCCTGGAGAAGACCCGCAAGACGAACTCCGACTCCTGGTGAGGCTCCAAGGTGGAGGGAACGATGACGTAGACCCCAGGGGGCAGCCGGAAATCCTGAGTCACTTCACGGTCGTTAACGAAGACAGACCAGTTCAAAGGCTTGCTCCAGGTGAAGAAGGCAGGAGGGAGTTTTTTATGACTGTCGCAATACTGACAAGGAGAAAGAGAGAAGGACCAGCTGCAGAATCAAGTAAGGGAGCTTCCACGGCCTGGGGCTTTCAAAATTAACTATAAATTGTCTTCAGAGGAAAAGAACATGCTGCTGTTTGCACTTATCACAATGTTTGTACACCTGTCATGATGCTTACCCAGCTTGTCTCAGTACTGAAAAGCAAACAGGTTGAGGAAACATATTTCTAAGGGCAAAACTCGATGTTAGCTAAATGCATCATTAGAAGCCATGACTGAGCTGTTATTTTAAATAATTGGCAATATCCAACATTAACTCATTAAACGATTACCCCTATCTTTTCCTCACCTCTGTACCCTCTGCCGCATGGCATTCTCTGACTCAAATCGCCTTCCTCTGTCTATTAGTGAAACCATCATTGTTGCTGCCACTTGTTATGGTGAAACATGCAAGCTCCCCTTTCTGTTAATGAACACTGTTCTCTCAGGTGCCATTTTCATAGAAAGGTGGGGTACAAATCCAATATATTAATAAATGCCTCAATGTGAATTGCTCCCATCTTGTGTGAATGCACACACAGGATGGGAGCAATTTGATTTTATTCAAATGCTTATTTTATCAATACTTTATTTGTCCCTTCTCAGTTTCAGATTGAATTGTCTTTTATTTTTATTTGAACATAACCGGATATGCATTTAATTTGCATTTTAAAACCTATTTTCCCCACTCAAAGAATGCATTTTTGTGCACATCTCTTTTTTCAAGTATGCATTTTTAGTATGATGTATTTCTTTTTGCTAATTGCATTCTAGACTTTGGAAATGTAGGGATTCATGCTGTAAACTGTGTTGCAGCTCAGTTTTTGCTTCTGGAAATGCAAATGTGGTGCATTTGTTCAGAAAAGCAAACCAGATGAATTTCCTATCCTCTCCTAGATGCAAATCTCATACAAATGGGTAACTGAATGAGACCTGCAGACATCATGTGGAAAGCCAGTTGTTTGGATCCATCTAAAGGCACCCCAGAGGGCTGGCTGTTTGCCAATATTTTTCCTGGAGCAGGATAGCACAGCAAAATCTGTCACTGCTCTGAGGCCTAAGGAGGATGCACAATTCTTTCTGGCAGGCATGGGGAACTTGATGCAATCCTTATACTCAGGTCACATGTTGTGGTCCATGTGGTTGAAATATTGCCCAAATCAGTATGTCCAAGTAATCTTGAAGACTCCATCCTGATACTAATCTTATTTATTGGGGTGGTCCCCCATTGATTTCAGTGGGACTTCTGCACAAGTATATTTAGAATTGCAGTTGCTGCTATTCCTGGAAAACCCTTTCATGCCTCATGCCATTAAGACAAAGGCAAAATTGCATTTTTATTAGGCACTTCCCAATACTTCAAAATAAGCACACCCAACGGCACTGTTGTTAGGTGCCGTCAAGTCGTCTCCGATTTGGCGACCCTACGAAATAAAAGCGGATGTGGAAATCGTCAATAATTGCATTGGCTAAGAACAGTGGTGCCTTCCCGAATCAGCTCAAAAGGGCACAGGCGCTTGGCTCTCCTGTGCACCCAGTTGCCCACAGGAGCAGCTGCAGAAATGCCCCGCTCCCTCTTGCTTCGGTTGTATTTCACTCCTGCTAATGCAGCAATTTGTCATCTACGCCAGGGGTGGGGCAAGGCTTTTATGCCTTGGTCAATGCTGTGATTCATTGTATTTTCAATTTTAAAACCGGTCTTGGTTTTGTACTTCAGTATATTAATCTTGGCACTCAATACATGTCTGAAATTTACCTCCAAGCAGTCTCCAGCTCCAAGCTTCGATGAGCCTGAATGCCAAAGTGCTGTCTCCTAACCGGTCCAAAGCACCAGACAAGAGGCAAACAGACTCCATTTCAGGAAGCCCCGACCAGGGTCTTTTGGCACAGAGAGGGGTGGAGGGCGACCCACCAGCTGCATGTGCTCCACTGGGTCTTTCTGCCACTCCCATGACGTGGGAACAAAGCAGCAGCAAACGAACCAGGACCAACAGTCCTCCAGTCCAGATGCAGATGAATCACACCCTCGTTTACCCCCCTCTGACAGCTGAATGAAGGAATGGGGAGAAACGTGCACAGAACTGCCTATCGGGGAGGTGGTTTGGTGGGTTTTAAAGACAACATTTTCAGACTGCTGCACAAACAGGGTAGAACGAACTTGTGTTTGACGAGATGCAAACCCAGAGAGGTCTGCCTGGCGCCAACGTTATATACTTTTCGGCACCAGGTCAAGACCTTTTTATTCTTCTGTACTTTTAATGTTTAATTTTAACTATGTTTTTATGCTCAGTTTGTGGATTATTTGTATGATGTGGGTATATATGTATTGGATTTGAATTGTAAGCCATCCAGAGACCCACTGGGTATTGGATGGGATAAAAATATCCAAACAAACAAACAAACAAACAAACAAACCTTTAGCAACTGGAAAACAGGCTCTCCCACCCTTCATTTGGCTCAAAAGCAGAGCTGAACATGTGCAGCTTGTGGCCATTTGGTGGTTTTGTGCTCTGGCAGAAGCAGCTGCTCTGCTGCATAGCCAAGGTCTATTTAAAAATTTGAAAAACCCAAACTATCTGGAATGAAGTAGCCTAGAAGCATCATTTCAATCCTGCCTACATCCCCCTGACAAATATTCTTGCATTGATTTAGTGACATTTGCCAATGATTCCCAAGAGTGAGCCAAAATGGAGGGTGAGCTTCCTCCAGGAATTTCTAATTTGTTGAGCGCATATATGTGTGTGTGTGTGTGTGTGTGTGTGTGTGTGTGTAGTAAATCCATTTCTCACTCAGCCGTGTCTACTGCTTCTGGGCACAGCTCAGGAATACCACCATTATTGCTTAATTAAGCCATAAAATGCATTATCTTGAAATGTAGTGAGTCACATCAGCATTAACAATCTTTTTTTCCCTGCATGCCTCCAGACGCTTGTCTAGAATAGCCTACAAAGAATACCAAACGCACCAGCTTTGAATTTTGAGTTCCACATCCAAACAATCACATTTGACTAGAACCCAAAGTTGCAAACACCAAGAGGGGCTACCATGCTGGCAGGCCACCACCAGGAAAAGCATTGCACTCCCAGCATCCAACACTAGCAGGATAGGGAGCTGGAGCGATCCTGGAGATCAGCCTGAATTGTCACCAGCTGAACAGGACAGAGCAGAGCTTCTTCCCATGGCAGCAATGGATGGTGCCCCAAACATCCAGGCTTTGCTGATTTCGAATCCTCTAACCACATGGTTTCAACAGGAGAGCCTTTCCAGCAAGTCTGGTTAGGCTCACAGCTTGAATCTATCCCTGTTCAGGCTTATCAACACGAGTAATGGGCTCACGCCAACCCTCTAGCCAATGACTCTGGCTCCATTTCCTCATTCCCGGACTCCCCCATCTTGAGTAGGGAGGCTAGCTAAGGACAGTGTCTATTCACATCTGTCTGAACATGAGCAGAAGCCTCTGCCTGTCAGATCATCATAGCTCCCAAATGTGCATGGCGCTGAGATGGGGGGGAGGTTTTATGCTTGAGGTCAGGTCAATGCATTTGAATTGATATGACTGGTTTCCTGCTCAGTACAGGAAGGTGGAGGACTGAGAAAGCGGGCGGCATAGGAAGAGGTGCTTGGAGGGAGCCAGTGTGCAGTGCCCTGCGCGCGCTGATGCCCTCCGTATGGACATAATGCCTGAAGGAGGATTCCAATTTCAGCACTTGAGAACAATGCATTTCAGTATTTCAGCACAGATACTATTTCAAAATGCTGTGGATTGGATGGGATTTAGTCATGCTTTGAGCCACCCTTTCAGTTCAGTGGAGGCTGATAGCCATGATTAGTCCAGTTGATTTCAATGGTTTTACCCTAAGATCAATATTAAATCAAATTTATATTCAGTTCCAAAGTCCTGTTACAGTGATCATACTGAAGTTACATTCTTTCCAGCTCCATCTGAGGAAAAAGAGCAGGTAGAGGGAATGGACAAATACTACAGAGCAGATATATAAGTTAGAGATGAAAAAACTTTACATACCTCCTGGCTCAGCTGGAAAGAAAGAAAATAGAGAACATGAATCAGCTAGTGACTTTAAAATGTGGGATTTTGAATGGGTTGAGCCAACCAAGGTGACCTTCAGTTGTAAGTACATAGAACTCCCCACACTTTTCCCAGGCATCTTGCTTCAAGTAGGTTTGTTCTGCTCCAGCTTGCCAGTGAGGTCTTCAGCATTACTTTCATTTTGTGCAGAAGAATAGTCGAAGGCTCTGTGCTCACGTGCATTATAGACCATTTATAGGGGGCACTGAAACAGGATATCTCCTGTTCAAAACTCAGGTGGGGAGATATTGTTTGGGCCTACATGGGATATTATCTCCCTGAGCTTTTCGTCAGGATCTTCTATCTGTGATTCACAGCCTCAGTTCCCAGTAATTTAACTTCATTACTTGAAACAGTCCAGTTTCCATTGTGTGGGAATGGGCCAACATTGCTAGGCCATGGTCCCTGTTCTGACCTGATGAGTAGAGACTATTGGGTATACTCCATTCATTCATTCATTCTATTTATTTTGCAGCTTTTTTCCTTCCAAGGAACTCAAGGTGGCTTACATAATTCTCCTCCTCCTCCTCCTCCTCTCAACCTCATCCACACCACAACCTGTGGAGGTAGGTTGGACTGAGGGTCTGTGACTGGATCAAAGTCACCCAGTGAACTTCATGGCTGAGCAGGGACTAGAACCCAGTTCTCCCAAGTCCCCATCATACACTCCTAACCACTGCACCACCCCTGCTCAGAAAAGCCCAGGAGCATCTTAGACAGCTTCAGAAAATTAATCCCAACAGTTTCAACACTTACCTTATAGACAGAGAAGCCTATGTGGAAGTGAGGCATCCGATTCCGATGTTTGCCACTGTGCTTTTGGATCAGAGATACCAAAACACTGCATGAGTACCAGGACTTCTTGCTACCATTGCCTTGCAGAACCGTCAGCAGATACTGAGGATTCATCCAAAATGTCCCTGAGATAGGGAGATATGGAAAATCTGAGTTCATTTTCATCAAAAATTTATCCAGATACAACTCCCAGAGCTTAATGTAGACTTCAGTGCAACCTGGGGTCAAACTCTATGCTTTTCCATGCTTTAAAATACCTGCATAAACTGCTTATTTTTAAAATGCCCATGAAAAGATATCGAACATTTCAAAAAATGCACAAAATTGATGTGAATGTTTCATAAAACATGGATAAAATGTACATTTATCTTTGTGCAAAAAGGGAAAAAATAAAGCTTCCAACATGATATGAAAATATATCCAAACAAACGTAAGGGTGGAATCCAGGGAAGCTCAAAGATTTACACTCTGCTTATTCACACATCCCTAACAAGGGGAGCAAGGCAAGCCCGGAGCATGATTTGGAAACTTGTTACAAGGTTTACTAAAAGTGACCATTTGCAATAATACAGCACAGCAATGAAGCAGGGATCAAAATTCCAAACAGCTCTAAGCTGCTTTATTGATCCAATTGATTTGGTTTAAAATAAACAAGGAAGAAAAATACATCTAATTTACAGCCATGCACATTGCAACACATGAGTGTTTTCCTTAGCATTCTTATACAGCACTTCCACCAGTCTTCTCCAGCCTTTGCAACAGGTTCTACCTGTACCTGCCAAAATAGCCAAAGACCAGGGTTGCTGGAAGCTCTGCTCCAAAACCTCTGGAGGATATCAGGTCTGAGAAGTCCCAGTTGGAACTTTCTTTGCATCACTGAGCATCTGCCACGTCCCAGTGAGATGTGGAAGGACAGGGAGTGAAGATTTCGGCAGGACGAAGCCACGCCTTGTATAGCAGTGCATGCAAGAGGGGGTGCGGGCAGTGCTTACTCACGGGCAGTCCCAAAGGGCTCTGAAAGGCTGGGCCATGATCCAGCCCTATCCATGGCATCCCTGCTTAACTGTTCTAAATTCAAGGCTGTGGCTTCCTCAGTCTATCTCATATTTGGTCTTCCTCTCCTTCTTCTGCCAGGGAGTTTTGCCTTCTCACGATGTGCCCAAAGCAAGGCAGCCTCCGTTTTGTCATTTTGACTTGACTATTAAAGTCAACTATAAATGGGAAAGATCTGAGGCAAACTCTGCTATGAGAATTCAGTTAGCTTTGGAACGGCACTTTCCAACACCTGGCCTTGCTAGGCTGGCTGTGTGGAATCCCCACCTCACTCATCTTCTTAGAGTAACTTAATTCTTTGCAGGATGGGAGTTACTCCTGGAATAGGAGAATGTGGGTCCAGAGAGCATGCTTGTGTGGCCATGGGGCTGATTTCCTCACCCCCTTTTGCATGCCTCGTGCCTCAGTTTCTCCTTTCTGTGATGCGGGTTGCCGACTGTTAGGATCCAAAGTTTGCTCTGCCTATTGCTCTCCTGGCCCTGCTTATCACGACCCCTTGGCTTCTGCCCCACCTTTCGTACTAATCACAGGGCTCCTCTGCTTCTACACCTCCACTGCTCCAGAGGGTCCCTGCAAAATAACTTAACTTTAACTTAACTTTAACTTAAATATGTGAGCCGCCCCGAGGCTTCGGCGAATGGGGCGGCATAAAAATGTTTTAATAAATAAATAAATAAATAAAAATGCAGAGCATATTTGGGGTAAGGATGCTGATAGCAAATGAGAGTAGGAGGGGCAGAAATTCATAGATTCATAGAAGAGTAGGGCCAGAGAGGGCCGAGAAGACCATCTGTCCAATCCCCTGCTGATGCAGGATGCCAAGTCACCATCTCACTCAGACGACTGTCCAGTCTCACCTTGCATGTCTCTAGCATGGGAAAGTCAATGACCTCTCTTGGAAACTGGATCCATGGTCGTATTGCTCTGACAGTGAGGAAATTGCTTCTCTCCCTCAGGGAAGTCCCATGGTTTGAGTTTCATTTGTGGGACTTAGGAGTCAATATGATGGTGGTGGTGGTGGTGTCATGTGCCATCAAGTCACCTCCAACTTATGGGAACCATTTGAATAAAAGCCCTCAAAAATGTCCTATCCCTGGCATCCCTACTTAGCTGTTCTAAATTCAAGGCTGTGGCTTCCTTTATGGAGTCACCCATCTCATATTTAGTCTTCCTTTTCTTCTTCTGGCTTCAACTTTCTCTGGCAGGATTGTCTTCTCCAGGGAGTTTTGCCTTCTCACGATATGCCAAAGTATGGCAGCCTCCATTTAGTCATTTTCACAGAAAGCTCTGGCTTCTGGGGAAAGCTCTGGCTTGACATGATGGCATACAGCACTTTAATTACTAATATTATTATTAGATTTATATTCCACCCTTTTTCTTTTCTTAAAAAAGAATGCAAAGCAGCTCACATCATTCTCCTCCTCCTCTACTCCATGTCATCCTCATAACAACAACAACCCTGTGAGGTAGATTGTTCTGGGAGTCTGTGACCGGGCCAAAATCACCCAGTTGGCTCCACGGCTGAGTGGGAACCAGATCCCAGCTCACCTGAGTCCCAGTCCAGTGCTCTTAAGCACTGCACCACCCTGGCTCTCCTATCTCCATCCATATACAGCACCTTGAATGGCTTTGCATACATTGCCACAGGGAAAGTACGTCTTGAAGGCAGTGCAGCAAAGCATGATTTCCGAAAAGCTCGTGTCCCCCAGGAGTCCCCAGCTGCAGCTCACCTTTGTAGCCCTTCGCTCTGCCACCTGCAGTGCTTCCTTTGACCCACTGGCCAAATTGCATGGAGCACATCCACTTCTTCCCTTCTTCCTGAGTCATGAGATCAGGAGTTAACTTACAGATCATCAGATCCACAAAATGGGTTTTAAAATCTTGCACAGACATCCTGTGAGAAAGGAACCAAAGGACAGCCAGTCAAAAATCTCCCTTGGCCATAGGCAGCAGTATTTGTCAAAGTCTTTCAAGTTTATGCAACAGAAACTAAATATAATTTGTCATTATGAAGAACTATACAGCAACTGTCCAAGTACCCAATGAATTCCGCCTTGGGATGTATGGATCTAGTTAAATCAGTTCGGTCCCTGGCTTATGGATTAGTCTATTGTCATTCCCCAAGGGAAACAGATTTTTATTCTTTAGGAATATGAAAGAATTTAGTTTTGCTTACGAAAGTGTGCAATAGTGCTACAGCTAACCCACACCAGTGCTAACCTACATTAGTGTTAATGCACAGCAGCATGAACAGAGGCCGTCCTCCTGCTGAAGGCAGATCCTGGATCCAGGCCCATGTCATTAGTGCCCTATTATGCACGTATCCATTCATTTTAGCGTTTGGCCATGCCTTGCCACAGTGTTTTCGGCCCAGGCTGGTTGCACTGCCCTTCCTGCAGAGCCAGGCCTCTTCTCCCTCCCTTGCATCTCCAGGGGCTGGCAGCAGAACAAGTGCCTCTTGCCCCTGGAGCATGTCCCTGCTCATGTATGCCCAGGTACAAACCCCAAGGCAGTCATCCTGCCCCAGGCCAGCTGATTAGGTTTAGGATGGGGCAGCAACACCACCAATGCTGAATCTAATGTTAGTTCCACTCAAAGCAGGGGCATGGAAGAAAGGCATCTCAGTTCATTTTTATTGTGATTTACCCAGTTTGCACCAAGGATCTGAACACAAATGGCAGTCGAAGTCCATACGTTTCTAAGCTTGCAGTGCAATGCATGGACCGTATGCATTTTTGAAAAACGCGCATGACATAAACGAGCACTTTTGAAAGATGCAAATAAATTTACATTAATCAATGGGAGAATTAGGCAAACACTTCAGAAATGTGTCCTGCTGAAATTCAGATTTGAAAATGAGAATACACTTGGATTTTAATGGAAAAAGAAGTGCTTGTTCCCATTGCACAAGTTTCAAGATGGAAACTGGAGAACTTCAGCAAGCCCTAGCCCTAATGTAGAGTGTGCCCATTAATATGAAAGGGACTTACATTATACAAATATTGGAACTAGGCACCATAGGAGAGAGGCTTAGGAGAGAGACGCTCCACCAGCAGGGGAGCACCCTTGTGGAAGCCTAGTGGGTGCAAATGCAGAGGGGCAGCCACAGACCCACTGCAACCAAATCCCCTTCCCGAAATATTCCTGGATTGGTCTCCAACCAACACCAGGCTTGAGATAGCATAGCTCTTTCTCTCTCATTGGTTCTGGGGACGGGGGGAGATTTTCTCATTTTTAAGATGGCACTAGGGCACTAGGCTAGGGAAGACTGATCTCTCGCTATTCTTCAAGCCCAGATATGTAAGAGCTTGTTACGCTTCATATGGGGTAAGGAACACCCTTTCACTAGAGTGTCAGAGCCACATCCTTCCTCTGCTGAGTCTTGATGTTCAAGAGAGGTTCCTGGGTAATACTTAGAATCATAGAATAGTAGAGTTGGAAGGGGCCATGAAGGCCATCGAGTCCAAAGCCCTCATTCAAAGCAGCCTTGGTCCTTACCACCCTTTCACCGTTACTACCGTCCTCTCTCGTCTGTGTTCTGGGCAGGCTGGCAGAACCAGTCAGCTGAGTGAGGCACCACGCCAGAGATGTGTGCGCCAACTCTTCCTTCGCCTCATGCAGCAAAAGGTCTTGGGCTGACCCCAGTCCTACCCAGCTATCATGCAACAGGGCTAGTTCCTTCACTGGTGCCAGATGGTCGGGGTCCCCCTGTCTGAACCCAGGGGACCTATCACTTTATATTAGGGATGCCCGAGAATCCTCACCACCCATAAATGAGGTTGAACCTGATTTTGGATTCTTCAACCAACCAGCATTTCCTAAACTGCACCAATTCTGCAGGCTTGCAGAGCTTTTGACTTCTCCCAGTTTTATGCATATTTAAATATAGAAATTAGAGACAATTAAGAAAACCACCAAAAATGCACATTTTCCCTAGGGCTAAAGTGTGAAAATAGATGGTTGGGGAAATTCATGCATGTGGGGAAGAGCTGTATTTTCAGAAGTGCAAATCTGTACAGCTGTGAACTTTCACAAGTGCTTACAAACACATTTACATACAATGAGCAGGCAACAAAATGAAAGGCACCCGGCAGTCCACCAAATGTAAGCAAAATGCATTTTGCATCCTCCATACATTCCTACTTTACATTATTTCAGCTGTCTTGTGATCCAGTCCCAAATAAAAGGTGGAATAAACATGGAATAAACTATTCAGTCACACACACACACACACACACACACACACACACGCGCGCGCGCATTTAAATCAGGCCAGAACTCAACAGGAGCTTTCGCACAACTGCAAATAGAGGTGGCAGCTCAGGAGCTACAGAGGTGAACTATTTGCTTGCATGGGCAGGAGCTTTGGCAGCAGAATGAAAGAACTGGCAACACTAATTGGTACAAAAACTGTACCAGCTGCGATTGTCACTGCTATGTCGGTGCAATGCTTACAGCATTGCTGTCCCTAAAATGCTTATTAAATAATGCCTAGTGAGCTGTAACACTATGAATAGGAGTAGTAGAAAAAGCCGCGAAGAAATATTAGCTGAGGAAGGCTTGCAACTTGAGCAGAGGAAGTGAAACTATATTGTATGTTAACACTGCCACCTAGTGGCAGAACGATGCGGTGTGAGAAAGTGGATTTTAAAACTTGCCGAGCAGGTGCTTGCAAGCACAAATGTACAGGGAGGAGGGAAAGATGGAAGGTGGCCACTAGCAACCTGGAACACCTGCAACCTCCAGGGACCACTAGCAACCTGGAACACCTGCTTTGCTTTGCTTTGCGTTGCTTTGCTTTTGATGGGGAGTGAATATACCTCTAGTACTCAGATATTGGAGACAGAATCATAGGCTCATAAAACTTTAAAGCTGGGAAGGAGCTTCGGGACCATTTTGCAATTCAGGGGAAAGGTGAATAAGAGAGCTCTAGCCACATACAAAATGATGCACCTGGAGAAGGTAGAGATTTTTTCTCTATCCCATAGTACTGGAATCCAATGGGATCATCCCATGAAGCTCATTGGTGGGAGAGCAGCAAAAAGAAGTGTTTCCTCATGTAGCACTTGGTGAAAATATGGAATTCACTGCCACATGACGCAGTGCTGGCCACCAATTTCAGCAGCTTCAGAGGGACTGGACAAATGCATGAAGAAGGCGATCACTGGCTACTGCTTTTGAAAGCCATATGGTATCTCCAGTATCAGAAGTAGTGTGCCTATGGACACCAGCTGCCGGGGAACATGGATGGGACAGTGCTGTTCACTCATGCCCTGCCTGAGGGTTTCCCAAGGGCAGCTGCCTGGCCACTGTGTGAACAGAACTGCCACCTCTTCGTCTGGTCCAGCATCGCATCATCTTTTCTTAGTGCAGGAACGCAGCTTCAGCATCCTAGGAGAAGGCTGGCTAGTTTCTGCTTAAATACCTCCAGCAAAGCAGAGCCTTCAAGTAGGCACCACTCTCACTTTTTGAGAGCTTATCCTAATGTTTAATCAAAATCTGCATCCCGACCATTTTCACCCACTGGTTCTAGTCCCACTCACTAAAGCAAGAGGGATGGTGTCACCTCCTCAAAGGTTTAATGCTTCAGCTGCCTGTAGAAGAAGCATTTCAAGCATCTGGAATAGTGGGGAAAATCTGCAAAACTGGAGAAACCACTGAATTGTTGGTTTTCAGAGAAAGGAGGCTGGGCTGTAGTGTGATACATGGTCTTTTGGCAAGCCCCTTTGGGCTGGATCAGGATCCCCACGTGGAACAGGTTTTGCATAGGGCCTTGGCATCTAACACACCTGCATTATGGGGATGAGAACCCCTGCTAAAATCAGGCATCCTTCCTTCCGTGTGAAGGCCTCGTGTCAGGGCTTAGTCCACCACCTCAATGCAGTGGAGGTCTGAAGCAGGCCTTCGGCATGAACTAGAAAGTGCACCATGTGGCAAACACAACCCGACTTTCCCCCCAAATGACCCGGTGGGGAATGATGAGCTGTGTAACTTCCCATGGGACACACGGGGAGGAACATGGACTATCTTACAAAGATTTGAGCTGGCCTATGAGAATCTTCGACTCACTGCATGAGGTGGTAGAGAACCAAGCTGTGCAACTTAGTGTGCAACGGAGCTGATCTCTTTTTTCTTCTAGTGTGAGTGCACGGGGCTCTAATTTGGATCAAGCCAACCGCACTTGCAGATGGCAGGTTAAGCCTTATGCCAGCTTTAAAAAAAAATCCCTCCTCCCTCCCCGAATAAGATTAAAGGAGAAAAAGGCTATCGTGCGCAAACACTGTGGCCGGGTGCCAGAATGTGCTTTACCCTTCACGCTAGGTGAACTCAGAGATATGGAACAACAAAGGCTGGAGGAAGAGCAACTCGGGAGTAGTGTGTTTACTCGGAAGGAGAGCCGCACCTCACAACAGAGGTCTCCTTCGACAGCAGTGCAAGCTTCCCCCCCCAGACACCTTCCTGAGTGGGGTTGGGGGCCACAGTGTGTGCATTATTATTATTATTATTATTATTATTATTATTATTATTATTATTATTATTACATTTCAGCCTTCCTCTTGCTGTGTGCAGTGCCCCCCAAAGCACTAACACGAATGTTTTGAAAAATAAGCACACTTCATCAACATGATGCGTGACCCAGGCAAAGCCAGCCCCTTTCATTATTTCATTCAGTTACCAGAACTCTCCATCGTCAGAATTTCTTCGGAGCAAGATCTTCTCCTTTGGGTTGAGCAGCTCCCACTTCCCGGAGCTAAAGGGGACCAAAAAGAGCTTGTTTGGAAAATAGCATAGCTTTATAGTATAAAATAATATATAACAGCTTTGACCAGGGGTTGCCAAACCAAGGCTGGGGAGCCACATGCAGCTTTTTGAATTGATTTTGCGGCTCACGGCTTGCTGTTCGTGGGCGCCCACTTGCCACTCTCTTTGCGGGTGCCCACTTGTGGCTCTCAGATATCTGATTTTTACTGCATGTGGCTCTTCCATTGAGCAGGTCTGGCCACCCCTGGGATAGACGATCAAATCTGCCTTGCTTGGTATTTAACATCACGGCCACCATATTAGAGACTGCTTGGGAGGCTTCTAAAGAGAAGCTCCCTTGAAGGTGGACAGATCAAGCAGGATTCTTCTGCACCAGGTCATTGGCCCACCTCACCCTGGATTGTCTACTGTGTTTGGTGGTGGCACTCCAGTGGCTCAATCCTCCCTCTTTCCTGAGCCACTACCTGTTCCACCACTAGAGAGAGCAAGAAATAGCAGATGTTGCTTGCCACAAAGCGGCGGCTCCTGGGACTTTTTTAAGGGTTACGAACTTTCAAGCTGGGGCACATGCAAAAATCCGGTGGCCTGCTAGTCTACTGCTAGCAGAGTGGGCTGGGGACAGAGATGTTTTTATGTCCCATTCCCTCTCCTCCTCAAAAGCAAAAGACAAACAAGCGAAACCCTCATGCACTGGCAATGGGCAGGAATGCACAGGAAGGAATCCCCGGGGGAATCTGGTTCCCAGCCATTCCTCTCCTCTCCCCATCCACCATCCCATGCCCTTTTCATTCTCCCCAGAGCTGTCTGAGGTGGGGATTTGTGACCTCAAAAGTAGGTGCCAGGTTTCTTTTTGTGATCTTGAAGGCAGGGGCCTTAGGGAAGGGTCAGGTCTTATAGTCCAACAATGGGATTGTTTTCTCTATGTCTTAATTGCATTTTAATGCAAAGGATGGGGGCAGGCACTTGTGGGATTTTCTTCCTGCTTCTTTCATGGGATGCTGGCCCCCTCACTCAAGGGGGAAGAATGCCATTTGCTGCTCAGCCTCAGGCATCAAAATAGCTGGTAGCCTGGTGGGCAGCCATGACAGAATGCTCCAACATTTTTTCTTGAGCAAACTCTCACATCATGTGCTGAGCACCATACAGTATGTGAGGACTCTGGGAAGCTTCCCAGGATCAACCTCATTCAACTTAGCTCCCTTCATATTGAATTATGTATAAACTGTCCTTCATCCTCTTCCAAGAAGCCCATTGGCCCTCTTCATTTTATCCTTACAACCCCGTGGTGCATGATAGTCTGAGAGTCAGTGACTGGTCCAAGGTTACCCAGAGAGCTTCACAGCCTTTGGTCTTCCATTGGTCCAGAATATGAAGGGTGTTTTGAAATGAATGAAGTTGATCAACAATGCAAACAGAACTGTAAGGTTTTGCATAATCTTCCAAGAGTTATGGCTCAGCTTTTGATAATGACAGTAGTGTTTGGCTTTTATACACCTTCTGTGCAGTCACAGAGATGAAGCTACTAACTGTATCACATCTTCTTTTAAATAAACTAAGAAAATATGGTACCTCAACTGGACTCCAGTACCATAGGAGCCATATTACTGACATGGGAATGGAAACACTCTTCCACACCTAGAACATTTCTCAGCCCAGGCCTACTGCTCTGATTCTCCCTTCCATGCAATGCTTTCCAATTTCTCTAGGGCAGCTTCCTCCAACCAGGTGCCCAGGTGTGTTGGGCTATGAGCTCAGGTAGCTCCAGCCTCCAAGTCCAAATTGAGAGGCAATGCATGGATGGAGGTCCCAGCCAGGCAGGGAAGGTTTCTCTAGTGCATCAGGTCTCTGGGACCCCCAGTACTCTCAGAGCAGTGCGTTGATGTGTTTGGATCAAGTGCATGCCATGGCAGCACTAAAGGCAGGAATGGAAGACGCCATGCCTGTCTTCATGCCATCACACCACTGTGCTTCAGGCTGAGCTTTTATGCAGTGCTGCTAAGAGGGTCACCTAATCTCCACCCTGCCTGTGCTGCCTGATCTATCAAAGTCAGTCAGTGTTATTGTTTTGAAAAGCAGCACCATGTTTCAGCTGATGAGGCTGTCAGGTTAAACTCCAACTGTCAGAGGAGCTGCGATTTCATCCATCCAAGCCATCGCTTCTTTTGGATCTCACCTGTCACTCCAGTCACCTTTCCACTCTACTTTCCCCCAGGGATTTCTCAGTCTAACTAAATTTTCAGGTCCGTGCTTGCAAGTCACCTGCAGATGCAAAACAATAAAGGACAACCTTAGCAAGAATTAGTGCAAGAATTAATGCCCCTTTGGCAGATGTGCTGGCTAGCTAGAAAGTTCTGGCTACAAACCAAGAGGCCAGTTTTGAGCAATAACATAATCCCCACCCCACCCCGAATGCTTATAAGAGATGGGCTCTTTCCCTGTGTTCATCATCACATATTATCCAAGTCAGATGGCTCACAAAAGCCTCACTTCCCTTTTGTGTGCCCCGGCTATACCACAAGAATGCTTAGAAAGCCAGCATGGATTAGCTATTGGAGACCCAGGTCCAAATCTCTACTCAGCCATAAAGTTGTTAGGGCAATCTTTGATCAACTTAACCTACCATAGGCTTGTTGTGAACTTAACAAGCATAATATTAAAAGCATAATATTAATTCCCCCATTTTTACATGGTATGATTTTCAGCTATTTTAAATGCATTTTGAAGTCATTTAATCTTGTTTGCTTTATATTTGCATTGTATGTTATTATTTTGTTTTAAGCACTGCTGTAAACATCCCAGAGAGCTTCAGCTGTGGTATGGTAGGGAAACAGCAGCAGCAGCAGCAACAACTATAACAATAGCAACAACAACATGCCTGAAGGTGCTTTTAATATCTGCAGCTCCTTCATGGCTGGCCCATGCTAGGAAATGTGGGACTTTATACTTAAATATGCATAGAGTTACAGATAATCCTTGTTGGTTGTATATTGTTGTTTTGCTGTTGCATTGTCTGCATTATACTTTTAAATTTCTTCTTCAGTGCTTTGTGAGGTTTATTTTCCTGGGCACATGGGTAAGTCAAGCACTTTGACCCAGCTTATTTCATCCAATGGCACAATTTATCGATGGAACAAGTGATGCCAGACCTTGTGGGAAGGCAGTCCTCTTCCCCACCAACTCCAGTGATTGTTGTATTCCATAAAATTGCCTGCTCGTATTTTAGAATAAACAAAAAGTACTGCCTACTTTAACGCTCCCGAATCCACTTCCCTTTGGGATAGGAGCATTTTGTATCATATATTTGGCGAAAGGAAGCTGACTCTCTTGTGCAAGGTGCTAAGCCTGCTCTAAAGGGAACCCCAGGGATGGACAGATTTACATCAGCCTTTCCCAGCTAGGTGCCTCCCAGACTTCAGGTCCCATCCGCCCCCACCAGCATGGTCAAGAATGCTGAGAGCTGCAGCCCCAAACATCTGAGGAGGGATACTCTGCATCAGCCCAGCCAGCATGAGGGGTGAACGATTCCCTGTGTAGGGGGCTAAGTGTAGAGTTTTAGCATTTGTTAAGTGTAGCTGCCAGGTCCTGACTGCAAAGGGGCCCTTCTCTCTTTCAGAATCACACAGACACAGAATTTCAGCCCTGACACCCCTGCTCACAAAGTAGATTTTCCTTTCAGGTGACTTTTTGGTCTGGACTCAACAACCCCATCTGTTCGTTTTTTATGGAACTTTTCCATGTCTAGGATTTTTTTTTTTTTCAAGGAGTATTTATGCTGACACAAATAATGATTAGATGGAGGGTTCCAACATGGACCAGACACAGGCCACCAGCTTGGGTGCTCTGCATGTTTTGTGGCCAAAAAATCTTTGCATGCCAAAAGCCCCCCCTTTTCATCGACCGGATTTCAGCTGGAGAAAAAAGTGTTGCAGACCAGCTCAGCACATACTCATGAGCTCTGCTGTCAGTAGAGCCTCATGAATCAATTACAGCTTTTGATTTACACAAGGGCTCAGCCATTATCCTCTATGTTTTATTCATGCCATTAAAGGGAGCATGGATGTTAAAAAGAAACCATTTTTACGCTCTCGTCACCTTCGGTAAGCTGCACAGAATTTAAAGCAAAGGCGGAGGCACCTGTCAAGAGCAGCCAGCCGCAGTGTCAAGGGCCAGCCTGAGTCACAACTATACAACTCTTGACATGGGCAGGGGAAACCTTTCCAATCCATGGGCCAAAGTCCAATCTGGGAAAGGTCTCAGGGCCTGCATTCCACCTGTGGGCCAGGCCAAAGGCAGAATGGATGAGCCAAATGCAACGTGTAGGGGTTCTGAGCCTACTCTTAAGCAAGTGAGGCAAGGCTGCCTATTCAGAACTAGGACTGGATCGTTCTGCAGCATTTTCCAACAGCACTGCAAATACCAAGCCTTGCTGCCCCTGATCCGAAGCAGACATGAGCAGCTCGTCAATTCATAAGTAAGCAGGGGTAGCCACTTGTGGCCCTGCAGGCGTTTCGCCCTGCAATTCTCATCAGCCCCGGCCTGCTAAGCGGAACTTACTTTCCGAAGGCCAGTCACTGTGTAGGCATGTCCCGCCACTAATCCATTTTCCAGCACTCTTCTTGGCTGCAGAGAAGGGCATAAAGGTTTTTAAACATGCTCTAAGCCATGTTCCTCATTCTGGATGAGACCAGTGCAATCCGATTTTATGAGAAAGCACTCATTGTAAATACCACAAACTGCTTGAGCTCAAATCCTTCACTGGCTTTAACTTCTGCCTGTTGCAAAGTTTCTGCAATGAGTCAGCTGCCTTATGAAAAAAACTATTCCGTTTAGCAGAATAGAAGGTGACGCAGGTGGGGTGTGAATCAAGGCTTATGAGATCAGGAGCAAGAAAGGGACTTTCCTCTCCCAACATATGAAAACCTCTTGTGTCAGGTTGGTATGCTGTATTTTTAAGTCAACCATAACTTCTGTGATGCGAAATCCTTCAGATCTCAGTGGAAGTGGTTGGGTGCTTGTGAATGCACAGAGCCATGATGGAAGCATTTGTTGACACAGTTAGTGGTTCCTTCCATGCACGGATTTGCCTGTAAATGGCACTGCTGGGGACCTTATGAGGTCTGCTCAGAAATGGAAGCAGGTGGGAACTGGACAGTGAAGTGGATGCTGTTCAGCAGTTCATCTTAAAAGAATGAGTTCTCTCTGAGAAAGAGCCAGGCGTGATTGTTACTTGCAAATACAACCCAGCTTTCTCCTTACCCATGTTAACATCGGCAGAAGAACCAATTTGATTTTGCAATAGTATATTGGTTTTTGCTTGAGATCATGGTTTAAAACTGTGCCCATCAATTACATTGATTGGGTACCAGCCTGCTCCATCTCAAGGGAACGTAAGATATTCTCCACCTCCACACTCATTAATACTTTGCTGTGATCCCAGAACACAAATGTGAGCATAAACAGGAAGAAAACTCACCCCTGCGTGTGTCTGACAACCCATCAAAGACCTGCTGTAGGTTGCTTTTGTCAAGATATCCCAGAGATTAGATGGTGCTTCAGCCAGCTTGATCGTCATATTAACTCCACCTGTGAAGTCTACCAGAGCTTCTGACACTTGCCCGATCTGTAGGTCTTCATAGGAACCACACAGCCTGTCAAGAAAGTTATTATAAGCCCTTTACAATGTATTCATTGAACTGATTATTCTAGCGCACTGAAAGGGAATGAGATGAGAGGGCAGAATGTGTCATATGCAACCCACGTTTGATGCAGATTGGCTGGGGAAGGCTTGAAGGTGACTTACTTGGCATAAGCCTTTTCCAGAAGAGCTCCCCAGAACAGGTTCTTATAAACAGAAGAGAGGAAAACAAGCTGACCCGCTTCGTTTACTGGCAGTCGGTCATCCACAACCACATCGACCCACTCGCCAAAATGCCAGAACTGAAAAAGAAAAGAGCACCCCATTCACCTACTGGTGATTTGCTTCTCTTCTTTCTTAGAGGCAACCCAGCCATGTTTAGAGAGAGAAAAGAAGCCGTTCTTTAGCTATAACCCTAAATCATCACTGGCAGTCTATCAGCTGTGACAGCTTTGCAGGAAAGGATGCAGTGACTCTTCCCTTCTGTCTCACCACCACAGTGCATCAGGCTAGTCATTTTGCTAGTAGAAGAAAGTCCATGAAAAGCAAGAGCAGTTCAGTTCAGAACAAACACACGTCAGATGCAACTCTGAGTTTTAGACCTGAACTGAGAAATATCTATTCAAAGAATAAATATTTTCACTTTGAATAAAAATTAATATTCAATATTTACTTAAAGAATATGAACCTGATCATATTACCACACTGGACAAATCAGATTTAAAGACAAGGAGTGGCATCTCATGAAGGTGTTTCTTGCTTATGTATAGCAAAACGCATCTGTGCGGTCTATTTTTCATGCAGCAGCCTTAGATGGGTTTTTTTTCTGGATTCTCTAATTCAATTTTAATTTTGGATCAGGTAACCTTCAAATTTAGCCTCCACTCCTCACATTTTGGTTAATTATTCAAAACCTTCTTGTTTCAACACTATTTTTATTTTGGTGTTTTGGAACACTGCAGTTCCAAAGTGTTGAAATGCTACCTCTCAAAAATAAAACCCTTTACATTTTAGAAGCATATATTCTGAAGTCTGAAAAAAAACCTGGTTCAGCCTCAGACAGAAATATCAGTGTCAGTCTCCACATTTTATTCTGAATGTGTGGATTCCTATTTCTGACTTTTGTTCAACCTTAAAAATGTTTGTGAATGCCAAAGGCTGAGGAAGAAAAGCTACTAAAGCTGCAGTAGAATAACCAAAGAAGCATCTAAGAATGTAAGGAAGAATCAGAAAATTATTTCCCTGACATTTTAGTAAGACCCACACAGCTGGGTTTGTGAAGGGCAAACACATCAGGGGGTGCAATCCAGATTGATGCTGGTTAGTCTCTGACCTTGGGGAGTGGAGGGGGGGGGGCAGCAGAGATAATTTCCACCTCCTACTCTCCTGTCGTGTGAGTCAGCTAGATAATTGTTTTTAGCCATCCAGCTGAAGTATCTCAGTGGGTGAAGGAAAAAGGCTGAGACACCATGAGGACACCTAATATTCTGGAGGACCCACTCCCCTCCTTATCCTTTCTAAGGTCACTTCCATGACCTTGGAAAAGCTGCCAGCACTGCAGTTGTGAGGGAGATGGGATCTGCACATGTTCCCTTTCCAACCACGGATCTGGAAATCAACTAATTTGGTGGCCCCCATGATGCTCCCTGATGCTGGGAACGATGGACAGCAAAAGGAGAAGGGGATGACAGAGGATGAGGTGGCTAGTTGGAATTACTAGGGCAGTAGATGTGGGCTTGGGGGGGACTCCCGGAGATGGTGGAGGACAGGAGAGCCTGGAGGAATGTTGTCCATGGGGTCATGATGGGTTGGGCATGACTTTGCAACTAAACAAAAACAAAGATGCTCCCTGGAGGCCATAGCAGTGCTCTGTCAGATAATGTTCAAATAAAAGCTTTTCCACTGCCAAGAGAGTATGTGATTCAGAGAGAAACCATTCCAGATTCAGGACCGTTGGCACAAAAATTGGCTTTTGAGCCTCTTTTGGTAAGTAAACCTGCACATTCACATCAGGCATTTTAGGAAAGTGTGCAAGTATCCGAGTCTGCTTTGAAGTACTGTGGTACCTTGGCTCACGAACTTAATCTGTTCCAGGACTCTGGTCATGACCCAAATTGGTCATGAGACAAGTCAAATTTCCCCATAAGGGTCAATGTAAATAAGGTTAATCCATTCTGTAACTATTTTTTTTACTCACAAAAATTTGAAGCAAAGTGGCAAAAAAACAACAAAGACCGTGGCCATCTCCACCACCCCCAGCCATCGTTCAGGGGGGTGGGGGAGACGGGCACGATCGATGGTGCCCTCAGGCAGGGAGCATGGGCGCAATCATGGTCATCTCCCTCCCCCCCCCCAGCATGACTGTGGCCATCTTCCCCCACCCCCTGCATGACCGCAATTGTGCCCTTCAAAGGCAGGCACGCTCGCGATCATCACTCAATGCAGAGTTCACAACCTGTGGCAAAATTTTTATGAAATTTCTGTTCGCAACCTGAGTTGGTCGTGAACTGAAGCATTCGTGAGCTGAGGTACCACTGTACACACTCATCATGACTGTCCCATAGCCATGACCACACAAATGGATCAAAATTGTAGGCAGCTACACTGATCTTTTTCACACGAGTTCCAAGAATTTTCATCTGTGAAGACCTGGTCTCCTGTGAAACTAACGGGTGTCCCTCACCCATTCAAGACCAAGCCACTGCAACATACTTTACATGACAGCAACATATGCTGTTACTAGAAAAAATAATTTCTCCCACCTATTGTAGCAACACTCAGGAAGGGATAGTTCTGAGCTGGGTGACAGATGATCCCTGCCAATAAAAAACCGACAGCACCATGTCCCTGTGAGCCCAGACTCCACTACATCACACAAATCCACGTGTGTAGCTGGAGTTCGTGGGAATGAGCCACCAGTATGCAGAGAAATACTGACGGAATTAGCTACCTTGTTATACAAGTAGGTCTTTCTTAGACCAGCTTCACTGAAATTGAGGCCTACCTTGAAATGGAATATTCCAGCATACTTCTTCCTCTCAAAGCTCTGGTTCTGAGGCACTACCTTAAACAAAATATCTTGATGAAATGTTAAAGCTTCCACAGCAGCCAAAAACCAGCAGTCCTCTGTATCAGAACAAATAAAAAAAATGGGAACATAAAAAGGCATATTGACAGTATTCTAGTGTCCTTTAGGGGAAAACAAAACAAGTTCAGCACCATTTCATAATACATAAATTATATCATTAGCGTGGAACAAGAACACAGCTATTTGCATATAGCTATTAAAATGTGTACAAAATCTATTTCACTTGCAATTTTTCCACTTAATTGCAATTAAAAATAGATTAGAAAGAAGATTTCATGAAGCAGGGCACTTCAAAAATGTCACCATCTGAAACTCTATTTTTCAGATTTTCAGAGGTTATACAGGTCCTTGCTTTTTTTTCCATCTGTGAGTATTCATTGTTAAAATATTTGGCCTGGCATCCCACAGGGCATGGGGCTTGGATGTTCCTAAGTTGTTTCCTCTTTAGCACCAGATATTAGAACAGCAAACAGGAGATACAAAAGATATGAGGGAGGAACTGTATCACAACATAGAAGGTCACATGCTTTTCATTCAGAAGGTCAGTGGTCCAACCAGAGGCATCTCTAGGTAGGGTTAGAGAGGATCCTACCTGAAACCCTAAAGCAGGGCTTGCCAACCCCTTTGGAGGTATTTAGGAACTGTGGGTACCACCCTAAATGCCAAGCCAGTGGCTTGCTACTCTGATGTCTACATCTTGTGTTTATTGTTCTTAGGCTACGTCCCATTCAGCAAAAACATTTGCTTCATTTCAGCTGAGCACTATGGCTTCTTTTGAATATGGGATTGACTAATTTGGCAAATTGCTAGTGGTGCAACTCAGTGTGAGCCAGTGTGGGGCGATGGTCAAAGAGCTAGACGGAGATCCTGGGAGAACCAGGTTCTAGTCCCTACTTAGCCATGACGTCCCCTGCATGACTCTGGGCCAGACAAAATCTCAGCCTAACCCACTACACAGAGTTGCTGTTGCCACCTTGGGTTCCTTAAAAGAGAAGAAAGGATGGAATAAATACAGTGTCATAATAATAATGCTTCTTTTAAACACATGCTTTGGCAACATCCAGTAGTTGCTTCTTTTAGGAAGGAGGTTATTGCACAGATAAATTTTGTACTAGAACAGTCTTTAATATTCACTGATGCATACATTATTTTAAATCCTTTTAATCCTAGTTCATTAAATTAAACAAATGGGTAAATTAACAAGTTGATTCTCTGCACCCATCTGAGAACCAGCAGGCTGATATGGCCACATTGGAAGGACACACATCCACTTCCTATCCTGCAACAGATTCAGCATCTTACTACGCTTTCAATACTTGAATGGGTGGCATCTGGAAATGTATTTCAAGTGCTTTTGTTGAAGTCTATGTATAACTGCTAGACTATTATATGCATCCATTGCTAGGCATATATAGAAATCCGTGTGTGTGGTGGGGTGAGTGGCTGGGGGGGGGGGGTGTCTGTATATGTGCATGCATGCACACACACACACACACACACACACATTTAATGGGGAGGTTGTTTAAAAAAGGAGTATGTTGCAGGTGCCCATGGGCATCAGACTGGGGCAAGCTGCCAGTCAGCATCATCAACACGAGACCAAACGACCCAGTGACCTGACTCAGCTTCCTAGGTTCTATTTAGGGCTTCTGAAGAGAGCAGCGACAGCGTAGGCAGCTATAAAAAACATTAGAGCAGGTCATGGAGGACAGCTCTAGCAGTGCTGATCATCCCTACAGCTAGTGAACAGAACCTTCCAAGGCAAACATGGACTGTGAGCAACAAGCCAATAAACTCGTTCCTGCATTTCCACTGAGGGGTGGGGGTCTTGCACACAGCTCCTGCCAGCCAAAGCTTTGGCAGGTCGACTCCATCCCCCTGGCAGCGGCCAGCCATGAACTGGCTCCCGAATGCCCTCCAGCACCACCACAGACAGGGGGCTCGGGTTCAGTCCTTCCCATCCCTGCTCACAGGAGAGGCTCTTTCTGAGGACTGCCATTCTATAAAGGGCAGTTTAGTGCTAGTTTGCCCAACATGAGACATGGAGTTAGGAATGCAAAGTGCAGGGTTATCCAATGCATGAGTGCTTAGAATGAGTCTGTTTTGGTTCAGTGGAGTTTACTTCCTAGTGCTAGTATGGTCCTATATTTTTGAAGTGCAGGGACGCATTATAACAGTTCCAGAGCACCCCCATCAATCTAAAAATGCAGGCTGTTGAGTCACCTCATGTGCATGTGAATTGCTGTGAAGATCCATGTCTCCCCAGGTATTGTGAAGACTGCAGCTAAGCTCAGAGGGAATGAGGAAGCCAAAAGGTGCTGGCAGGTGATGTCATCCTTTCTGCTAATCAAGAGTTTAAACACTTGGAGCCCTGACACCCGTGGGCCTCTGCTACCTGGTCAGTGCATTTAGGATCCTAGCAAATACCTATTCATTGTTATATCACCTTTCCAATAGTCACACACATTTTATACCTATGAGTCCTTGGCACAGGGCAAGCCTCTTCTTGTTCACTGAACAAAACACCGGAGATTTATGCAGTTCCTGGAAGGTTAAGAAACAAAATAAACAAGAGTATGATAAGGAAGTGTCAGGCCAGAGGGTATCTTCAACTGCTCTCAATTCTAGGGCATAAGCAGCCAGCATTAACAACTGGAGCACCTGGGCCAGGGCTGATGGCCTTAATGAGATGCAGCAGGCAGAGGTAAAGTGAGGTACAAACAAGATACCAGTAAGGCATGATAGGACCAAGGCAAAGTCAAGGGCAAGGCGAGCTGGTCCAGAGGAAAAGGCAAGAGTGACTAAAAGTCAGATAACATCAAGGCAGGGCTGAAGGAAGGACGAGGTCAGGAAAAGGCAAGATGCAAGGGAGCGGCAGGAGCAGAAGCAAAGGTAGAGTCAGGACATGGATGAAGCTACTGCAGAATCTGGACTGGAAGGGTTGAAAAGTTCACGGCAAAGGAAGCCAGGCTGACTGACCTTTTATTGCACTTCCTGTGGCTTGTGGCTGCTTCCCATCCCTGCAAGCACCTACAGGGCAGGTAGCAGTCCTGAAGGACTTGCAAGGCGAGCCAGGCTGCCTGCTCTATCGAGCACCAGTGGGAGCAGCACCGCTCTGCAGATCCTGATAGTTGCCATGTATGAACAAGGTTTGTGAAATGACACTCATTCAGTCTTCCCAACCCTGGTTCTTCCGGTTGTCTGGAAGAGCTTGTTCAACAAAGATTTTTACCCTATATTGAGTTAGAAATGTCTGATATTCAAGCTGGATTCCAAACAGGAAAAGGAACTTGTTACCATGTCACAAATATAAGTTGGCTGCTGGAGCACATCAAGGAATTTCAGAAGATCTGTCATTATTTTATGCACTACACTAAAACCTTTGACTCTGTGAATTGTGAGAAGCTCTGGATAGTCCTGAAAGAAATAAGTGTGCCTCAGCCCTTGATTGCCCTGACAAATACCCTGTTTCTGGAAAGAATATGGAAGAACAGAATGGTTTTCTATAGGCAAAGATGTCAGACAAAGATGTATTTTGTCTCTCATTCAATATAGTGCTAGAATATATAGGAAAGCTATTTTAGGATCAGAAGAAGGAGTGGAAAATGGAGGAAGATAAATCAATATTTCAAGATATGTAGATGTTGCCATATTAATAAACAGCAATGGATTAAAATGACTCCTGACAAAAGCGAAAGAAGAAAGGGCAAAAGCAGGACTGCAGTTGAATATTAGGAAAGCAGACATGGGGACCAAAGGGAAAATATACACCTTTAATGCCAACATTGTACAAATTAGTTATTGGCTACTCAGCCTGACAGTGGCTCAGGCCTTTCCTGGGGTTCTAACCCAAGAGCTACTTTAGAAAAGATACCAGGGCCTTCGGCTTGCAAACATATGCACTTTCCACTGAGTTCTGGGCACATTAAATCCTTGGAACCTTCCAGCTATGCTGGGCTATAACTCACATCAGTCCCACCAGCATGCATGCATGGGAGTGCTGTGTGGGGATGGTGGGACTTGCACTCCAAGACATCTGGTGGTCACCTGGTTAAGGAAAGCTGCCTTTGAGACAGTGGGCAAAGGGGACCTTGGAGGGCGCAGCTCTTATTCCATCACTTACATATGGCCTCTTCCAATGTATCTTTTGGGGTAGCTTCTGGAGTATTGGCCCCGTTCCAATGGACCTGACATCTGCTGGGAAGAGGGGATCCTCGAATAAGCACCCTTTCTTCAAGCACTGCTCCAGTAAAGCGTAATAATTCTGCTCGCTGAGCCTGCTGTGCTTCTGAATAGGCCCCTTTCTGCGGATGTGCCACGACTCTTGATTTCTCCTCCTCCTCTGCCATCGCAGGCAGGGGAGATGCAGAAACGGCATGTTGTGCCACACAGAGAGTTTGTTCCGAATTCCCTTTTACAGAAGTTTGTATATCTCTTCCCAAACTCCTTCTGAAGAAATCAGTCTTCTTCAATATAGTGAACACCTGTTGAAAATATTGTGAAAGATCAGTTTTGGGTTTGGCAGGACACCCAAATGCCCCTTAATTCTTCCAGATGATTTAACTGAGGTGGGACATGGCACTCACAGCTAAGGCTGCAATCATGTACCCAGTTTCCTGGGAATAAAACTACTATAATCCAAAGTGATTTACTATGCATCTAAATTGGATTGCACTGCAAAATACTTTCTTGCTGTCTTTTGCAGTGCAAGAGTTTGGTTATTTCGTTGTTTCTGTCTCAGTCTCCCTGCCTATCTTTGTGTGTATATAAAATAAAGAATATTGCAAAGAATGAACAAGGAAAGCTGATAATTCTTTTTTTTTTCACAGCGAAAGTGGAACATGGACCTTACCACTTCAAAAAACTAATGTTACTCTTAGGGCCAATTCGCAAGGATTTTCAATAGATCAAGGATGTAGCTTCCATGTTCTCCAGCTGATGTGGGCTCCTGGACACACAATATGTGATAGCCTCAGTCATGTATCTGTGCTCTGCCTACATGCCTTTGCAATGGAACATGCATGCCTAAGACACAGACAGATTTAATTGTTTAGAAGAATGGCCAATTTGAAACAGCGAGAGGTCCAGCAATGTGAGTGATCCTGAAGGAGAGCCATATGCAAAGCTGTCTCTTGCTCAGAGTCCTCTCACCCAGGGAAAAAGCAAGATGGGTATTCCCTTCCCTCCAGATCATGCATGCGTGGTGAAGTGATGGGGATATTGCATTAGGACTGGAGAGATCAAAATGCAGGCTGTCACTCACTGAGTCACCTTAAGTTGGGCATGATGTCTCTTGTGTACCATTCTGCATTCCTAGGAGGAAAGGGGGGATTTTTAAAAATGCAACAAGCAAACTAGTACTCCGTGTACAATCCCATGCCCTCCCAATACTGTCTGGAGGCCCAGAGATTCCTCCAAGGTCCTCCCTCCAAGAGTCTGTGCTCTCAGTGCTGGGGCTCCGAAGGCCAAGTCCTGCCTCTCTCCCATCACAGCCAGCAGCGGAAGGGCCAGGCTGCCTGCCTGGGGTTGCCAATGCACCTCAGAGCGGGTGGGAAGGAGGTGGCTGTGACTGAGGACTTAAGCCAATGCCTAGTGAAATCTCAGCCTCCTTTGTCAAGATGGCAAAAATGGCCACTTAAAAGCAAGACATGGTATGAGGCACTGCGGTGGTGCAGATCGTTGCCACTGGATTTTGACCAGGGCATAGGATACACATAAGCCCAAAGGTGTACATGCAGCAAGGGCCGGGGGCGGAGTGGGGGGGGCATAGGACCATGTCCTAAGAACATTAAAAACAAAAAGGGTAAAGATGCTCTGAAGCCAGCTGATGGCTACGCAAGGGACACTTTCATTCAGAATTTCCAGGTGCTGACTGGCCGGCAGTGTTGAGAGCACATTTAGTTACCTCACATATGCTATCACTAACCCAAATTGTAGTCCAACCCTCCGTTCTATTCAAGTCAGTGGAGCTTATGCAGTGCAACTGGCAGACCTCCATGTAGGTCAGTTTGGACTGGGAATCAGGCTGTTACTGAGTCAAGGACAGCTGTGGGACAAGCCAACGTTAGCAAACGGATCATGCATATAAGCACACAAATTACTGTTCTGTTTTCATAAACTGACTGTGATCCTTCCAGGGGTTTTTTTCATCATCTTGAACATATTTATCAAAAGAAGGAAAGGCTGCTTTCTATCTAAAATGTGTTATGCCGCAGTTTGCATGCTCTGTTCTGAACAATCACCACTGCTTTTCCTGTTCTTGGCTATGTTTATTACAATGTAGCTTTCATGTTGGGTTTATTGCTTTTAGGTTTTGTGTATTATTGCTTCTATTAAGTGTTGTACTGTGCCTTGATGATATTTGTGGAAAAGTGGTCTATAAGTAACAATGAATAAATAAAATAACTCCCAGTGTTCTAAAATCTTTTGCAATGACGACAGTGACACTTTGAGCTTGGCACAGTTCTGGCTTTGTTCTCTGAGGGTATAGTCCTGCTTCAGAGCATTCCCCTAAAATTTTTAAAAGCAATGGTATTTTCGTGTTGGCTTTAAGGTATTTGATTATGAATTTGTAATTTTAGAGTTATGACTTAAATGGTGCTTATATGCTGCCTGGGCCTCCAGAAAAGGAAGAGCAGAATATAAATTACATAAATGTGGGTTTTAAACCAAACCTTTACAAATAGAATTTCAGATTTTTAGGAACTAATGAGAGGATGTCTCATATATTAGACTGTGTGGAGCTAGAAGAAACCAAGTGTGCCTTGCTGTACTGGAGTGTCATCACAGGGTGTCCTTGGATCTCTAAAACTGCCAGCTAACATTAAAATAATGGAGTTTGGCAATGCAATTCTTCTTGTGCACTATAATTAGACACAGAGGGGTATTTTTATTAAATAAGTGATCGTGTATCTTTTTCATGGATAGGAAGTGAGTAAAAAGATGCTGGCCTTAGACTAAGGGAGGCCAGGCTGACATTTCAGGTCAGCTCGCATTTTTCTGGGCATCGTCAGACAACTTCTTCACAGAGTTCCCATGACTCCCTGCATGCATTCACAAATGAGAGGAGCACATAAGCTTGCAGGCCTAGCACCAACCCTGCGCAAGGGTGGATTCTACATCATGTGAAGGGACTCTGTGCAGGACACGGCTGCACCTCACCGGGGTTCCCCCGCAACTGGCATACGGAGACCTACTGCCTCCAGTGAGCAGTGGCTGTTGACAGCCTGTCCCTCCATGAATTGATCTATTCCCCTTTGAAGCCATCCAAACGAGTCCCCAAAACTACATCTTGCGGTAGCAAATTGCATAGTTTAACCTGCTGCTATGTGAGGAAGCCCTGGCTTTCCTGTCCTGAGCATTCCACCCAGCAGTTCCATGGAATGCCCTTGGGGTCTAGGAAGATGGGAGAGAAGAAAAGACTGCCAATTGCCCCAGCCAGGCTAACTGGAACTCCTGCCTCAGGCCTTCACTCGCGTCCAATTAAGCTGGTTTTGTTCCCAGCACTACATAAGCAGCTGCTGCAAACCAGGCTCGCTTTCTTCTAGTTCTCCTGAGCAGGCCCAGCTGGAGCCGCTGCTCTGTGTCTGTCTGTGCTTGTTCAGCAAGCTGTCCTCTCTCCCAGCACGGCCCCACCTGGGCTGCTGCTGTGTCACTTCCCTGCCTCGTTCTTTTCTGTGGACCGCGGCAGACTTTTCCCCACCACATGGCCTTGGCCTGGCTGGCTTGGCCAGTGTTGCCGTTGACTCACCCACACGGCTGAATAGAAAAGTGAGCACTGATGACTTCTGGGAGCAGCCGCCGCCACCAGCCAGAGTGCAGATGGCATGATTACTTCCTCACCCGTTGTCAGGGAAGCGAGCGAGCGAGAGATTCTGGAGAAATGTGTTTAGCTCACACATTAATCCAAGCTGACTTGAATCTGCACTTTTCAGCCACTATGTTAACTGAAAATCAATGCAACTTTGAAATTTGGACTGCTGCAGACTTTGTCTCCGGCAGAGGATGAGGTGGCTAGATGGAGTCACTGAGGCAGTGGGTGTGGGCTTGGGTGGACTCCAAGGGATGGTGGAGGACAAGAGAGCTTGGAGGAATGCTGTCCATGGGGTCATGATGGGTTGGGCATGACTTTGTGACTAAGCAACAGCAAAACCTTGGCTCTCCAAGCCGAAAGTCCAATGTAAGGTGCTGGTGATGACCTACAAACCCCTAAACGACTTGGGTCCAGGATATCTGAAGAAGAGTCTTTTTCCCTATGTGCCCTCCTGCCCCTTGAGGCCTGAGGCAGTGGTCCTGCTCTGGGAGCCCTCCTTGGAGGAGATTAGGAGGTTGACTATCCGGAGGAGGGCCTTCTCTGCGGTGGCACCCCGACTACGAAATACATTCCCCAGAGAGCTTCACCTGGCACCAACCTTATATGCTTTTTGGCGTCAGGCAAAACCCTTTTTATTTTCTCATCATTTTAATGTTTAATTGAATTTAACTGGGGTTTTATTATCTAAAATTGTTGGATGCTGTAGTTTTTTGTTTTATTCCATTTGTTTTTTATTGCAAGCCATTCCAAGACGCTGGTGGTGGATAGGTTAGAAAAGCTTTTAATTAATTTATTTATTAATTGGGGGGTATTGGGGTGGAATGCACACCAAAAATGCATGGATTTGTGAAAATTAACATTCAAAATGGCATACTAGTAGGGAAATTGCTTGCAGATAGAGGTGTACCTTAAACAAAACTGTGTCCAAAAATGACCATGTTAGAAGAAATGTGCAGGAAATGCATACACATTTTCACCTAAAATCCCTCTGCCCCTGCAAAATCTCAACATTCAGGTCAAGCCAAGCTTAAGAGAGGAAAAAATAGGAACTGGGAGAAATTGACAGATTCATCCATGCCTAGTGAGTGCCTGAAAACAGTGGCCATGAGCAGCTTCAACTGGTCACTTGCCTGCCTGCGTCTCCCCGACAGCATTCCTCTTATCCAACAGACAACAGAAGGGCAGCACCCCTAGCAGAAGGCAGTGGTGTCATGGTAAGTCTGAGGTGCAAGTGCTAATTGTGACAGTGCACATAGCTGCAAAGCACATCCTGCTATTGAATCATGTCTGCAAACCACTTCTAGGACTTTTCACCTCCATCAGAAGCAGGGCTTTTGTAAAGCAAATGGGTACTAATTGACCTTTCAAGATCAGGTCACTCCAGAATACTTTGCATCACAAAAGGCAACAACAAGATAGTGTTGCTGGGAAAATTCAACTTTCTCCAGCTCCTGTGGAAAGGGTAGCTAACCTCAGAGGAAACAGGGAAGCCTGAAGCACAGATTGGGCAGGAGCCATCAGTGGCCCTGCGAGCAAAGAGGCGCTCCAGCCATATCCCTGCCAGACCTGCCCCTTTAACATCACCGGCCTGGAAGTGGCACTGGCTTGTTGTTGTTGTTGGTCGCGAAGTCGCATAACAACAACGTTATGTTCACATGACTCCAGTTCTCC